TAACATGCTTTTAATGATTTATCTCTGGAGGCCGAAAATCTACTATGTCCTTAAAGATTTTATCTGAAACGTCTTCATTTGAGTTTTTTAACGTCCAAATGAACTCACATAAATACGAGTATAACATACTGAGACACTCTGTACACACACAAACACACACACTGTGTGTACAGAGTGTCTCAGTTCTTAATAGTCAAACTCTGGGAGGTGATTCTAGACAAAATTACTAATAAAATTTTTATTTGGTATACTTATGTATGCCGATTTCTAACGGAAAAGGAGTTAATTCCAATTGTGTCTTTTCTTAAGGTTGTCCCGTTTTTCCTTTAATGAGGAGCCATAACACAAATATTATTTGATTCTAGTAATTAAAAAATGCTATATAGTAAACTATCAAACTTTTCTTGGGTATGGTTTGGATCAGGCCCGCCAGTTATTTTATCTAGTAACAGTTATTTATTGATAAATTAAAACATATTGGTTAAAGAAACATATGCCGTATTTAATTGGAACTTTTTGTACATAACCGAAAACATTAACATACTTTTAATGAGATATCTCTGGAGGCCGAAATTCTACTATGTCTTTAAGGATTTTATCTGAAACGTCTTCATTTGATTTTTTTAACCTCCAAATGAACTCACATAAATATGAGTCTAACATATAGTGATAAGTCCCACCAAAAACATTTTAATACTTAATTAAATAATATTTAATCATGTGATTTTATTTCTATATCAATGGTACCAAGTTTCATTACTGTTACTAAATATCATTACAAAATCACTGGAATTTTTTAACGGCCAAATTAAGTCAAAAAATTAAGTCATGGGTTATTCTCAATGTTTTGTTATCATCTCACAGATGCCTAACATTTCCAAAAACTTCTTAGTTTAATAAACTTTAATTTCATATAGATTTATTCGAGGTTTGTATTAGAATAGAGTTCAGATTTACCATCATTTATGTGGATTTAATATTATGTTCTTCTAGAGTAAATGTATTTTCAGCAGAAATTACAACTGAGAAACTATTACAAAGTGTTGATTAATTCTTTTTCTTTTGACTTAACATCTATTTTAGTAAATTATTATGAAAATAAAATTTTTCTTCATTAAAAAAATACTGATTTTAAAAAATTTATTATACCAGGTGATAATGAACCATTGTTTATATCATAGACATTCCACATTCTCCAGCCATCTGATCCGAGGGCGTCTGCTACTTCTTTTGCCATCCGGCTTCTCCTGCAGCATTCTATTTGGCATTCCATGGTCGGGCATTCTTTCCACATCACCTAACAATCTGATTCTGGTTCTTGTTATCAATACCACAATATCAAGTTCTCGCAGCTCCTCATTCTTTCTTCTTCTACAAATTCCATTCTTAAAGTTTCCGTTCCATATTATTCTCTACATTTCACTTCTTATTGAGGGTGATCTGAACTTTAAGTATCTTTGCTGTGAGAAATAGCATTTATTTCCTGCTGCCTTTATTTCACAATGTATTTTATTATTGAATGTGACCAGACTTTCAAGGTACTTGAACTGGTCAAATAACCTAAAGTTGTGATCCCTTAAAGCTTTTTCCGTATTCACTTCCTTTTCCATTTTTGAACGTTTCATGTACACTGTCTTATTCCATTAACTCTTAGGCCCAGTTCAGCCGATGCTTCTTCGAGTCCCTGGAAAGTTACTGGTAATGCTGCTTGAGCTCTAGATATAATAGCAACATCATCGGCATAAGCCAAATTTTGAGACAGACGATTGTAGATTGTTCCTCCGGGATTTGTTCGAATAGAACGAAGAGCAACTTCCAGGGCTAGATTAAAAAGAAAAGGAGATAGAGGATCACCCTGTCTCAATCCATAATCCACCTCAAATTTTTCGGACAACGAATTTGCAAGTTTCACTAGCCAGGTAGTCTTCATTAGCGTCATTTTTGTAAGTCTGACCAGTTCCTTGGGTATGCATATATCTATCACAGATTTCAAGAGCCTCTTTAGGCCTACACTGTCGTATCCTGTTTGAAATCCACAAAGAGAATATGCATGGCTATGTTAAATTCATAACATTTTTCCATTATCTGTCTCAGAGAGAATAATCCATTACTTAATGAAAAACACAACCTCGCGTAGTTTGGCCTCTCAAAAGTGGTTTGACCAAGTCAAACTGTACTTGTATTTAAAGGAAATTTGGTCTAGTTTACTATTTACAATAGAATAACTAAAATATATGTCAAACACTCATACATATAATATGTGGATTAATAAATTAAACGCAAATAAACCCCTCTTAGGTTATTCCAACATAAATAAATATTCATGTATTACCGCTAGACCGTTGTATCATTATTTTTTTTTTAAATATTCAGGTTTGTTCATGAATAAACTAAGACGTTATTATAGCCAATCAAACAAGGTACCATAACAGAGTGCGAGTTACAGAAATAAATATTCTACATTTTTTTTTAAGTTGTAATACTGCTAAATATTTATCTCAATGATAATACCAAACATTATATCAAACGCGTTAAAAAATTATTGCATTAAAATATACCAAGCGTCCTTTCTATAAAGATAAGACACCTGACTGATATTTTAGATCGTTCAATTATACATCAACAGAGCGAGTTTAATCAATATCTTTAGAGCTATTTTCGAGAAAATGATAAAAAATGTTACTGTTACATACTTGTATGTTTATTTTAACTAAAACGTTGCCAGTATTCGTAACGTAATTTACGTACGTAATTTCAGTGCTCAGCATCTTTTCATTCTTGAACTTGTTAATGAACTATGTATACGCTCTTCAGATACATACACACACGTTTTTGCAAGACGTATTATGCGGACTACTGGAACACATATCCTCTTCCGTTGAAAACTCAGATTTGAAATATTTCACAATCGCAACATTTACCCTTATTATTTATTTTTATATGATTAAGTGAAAGTAATAAAATTTAAGTGGTTTCATAGCTTACAGTATTTATTATTTTATGGTCCTTTTTAAATATTTCGTTAACTTGTAGACTGACAGTGAATAGTTATGACCGTTCTCAACTGTCAATTTGTTTATTTACAATACTGAACATGTTTGAAAGCGAACTCCTATTTCAGTAGCCATGTTGGTGATTAAAATTCGAAACAAAGTTTCCCAGATTGGAAAAGTTTTGCCCGGATTTCGGACATTCATTAATATTGGTCTAAGCGGTGATAGGACAAGCCACCAGTTAACCCTGATGTATGGTCGTTTTTACGGTCCTTGGAAGCTAACGTCCAACAAATGCCTTTGCAGTTTGTAAAAAATAAAATCTTTTTCTAATCTTTCTTATCAGAGAAATTGTATCCAACTTGAATTTTATGCTAAAGCTGATTCTTGATTTTCGGAAACATTTTAACTATAATTTTCCAGTCCACGCAAATTAACTATTAATAGATAGATTAATAATGAACTGTCATAAATTATAAAAAAAAATAGGATTTTAAATTCCTATCAAAAGTTTCCACTTGAATTCCTATATAAATTCACTTTTGGATAGATATTATATTGTAGATTTTTTTTGTGTACATGAGTCAAATTTTAATATTGAAATTCTTGATTTGTAATATCTACTTCAAAGGTGAAAATTCAAGCTTTAAAATAAATTATATGATTTTTAAACGTGGAATTTTAATTTGTCAAGAAGGATAAGAGAATGGGATATATTGTCGTGGGAAGTAATTATTAATTTCGTAAGAGCAAGATCCTACAGGTTGGAAGGGTACAGGAAGATGTTACAGTCTATTGCAACGGAGAGATGATGGAGGTAGTGTCATATTTCACCTACATTGCTACTGTTATGGATCGGTCTGAGAAAGTGGATTCTGAGACAGTATACCTGCCTGTACTCCCCTATAGTGCAGAAAGCTGGGTGCTGACTGACAAACTGGGGAGTAAATAAAGTCACTGCTGCAGAAATGAGGTTTCTCCGAAGGACCGCATGAAGAACGAGGCGTGATTGCATTGGTAACGAGAGAACCAGGGAGGAATTGGGAGTTCCTCCCATAAAGCATATCCTAAAGACTCAGCAGCTTAATTAGATTGGTCATGTCGTCTGGATGGAGTATCACAAGGATCCATTAAAGTCTATGGACTATATCCCTGATGGTAGAAGACCGCGGCAGACCGAGAATGTCGTACCTCGAATATGTGGACCGTCAGTGCAAAAATAGAAACAAGAATATACCCCAAGTGAGAAATCTTGCAAGAAACAGAGAACATTGGATATCCTGGCTAGACGCTCCCCTACGCTGAAAGAAAGAACATGGTGATGCAAAAGAAGAAGAAGTAATTAATTGTTTATTAATACCAACTATTTTACTAATTGCTTATTATGTAATTATTTTACTAACTATAACTATTTTACTAACCGTTTATTATGAAATTATTTATTCTGTTACATCAGTCATCGATCAATTATGAAACCAGGATATCCTCCTGTGGTACACCCAGCCATTATAAAGTAGGCACTCTTACCTGAATAACTAAACGAGTGGTGAAACCCGGAAGTTGAGCATGATCTTACCCAACATCCTGTGTGCACAATTGTTGGCCTTGGAACCGTATTTCCTTACAAAATACTGAACCCAAGATTCTTTATGGGTTGTATTGGTGTTGGAGATTGTATCGTTGGTTTATTGTGAAATATCACAAAGTACATTTTTGATAGAGCTAAACTTCTAAAGATGTTTTGGCTTATTTCGATATTATTTATTGATTACAAAACAAAAGTAATTTAGTGCACTAAAATGAATCAGATATACGCAATTACAATAACAAACACACAATTTTCTTATTTCACAAAGGTGCCTGCTTTCCTTCCATTGATATTCATTCATAGAGAGCTAATACTGAATTGATAAGCATAACCTATCGCATCACTAATAGATTTCTTTATTTGATTTGATAAGAAAAAACATTAAAAAAATCTTTTATTTTCATACAGTATGGGATGTTACAATAAATGTCACACATGTTAAGCAGCAATCATAAACTTTGATCAAATATTGCTCTAGCTTTTTTAAAAACCTCATCTTTCGTTTTATTAGTGTCCAAAGCGCGAACCATCTGTTGAGACATGAAATGTGATATTACGTCCATAGTCTCGTCGTAGAAGGTGCGTAGCCTCTTTTTGATGATTTCGACGTCATCATCAGACCTATCGCTTGATTTTCTGCTGAGACATCTTTTCATCAGGACATCCTCACTCGCCTTGAGAAACAGGATGAACAATAATTCAGTCTCTTGCCCCATCTCTTTGAACCAGCCGTCCATGTTCTCCTTGTTCCTCGGGAAGCCGTCCAGTAGGAACGTTTCGAAATCTCCTGCGGCCTCCATTGCCTTTCGCAGCAGTGCACAAGTGACAGTAGCTGGCACGATAGTGCCGTTAACGATATGCTCCCGGATAAGCTTTCCTAGATGGGACCTGGGGTTTGAAATTTCCTTCCTCAGCAAAACACCTGCGGACAAATGTCCTATCTTGTATTCTCTGCTTAGGTAGTCGCAGACGGTCCCTTTCCCTGACCCTGGTCCTCCCAACACGAATATAATTCTCTTCTTTGTATTCATTTATATTATGAACTGAAGAATGAATACAAAACGAATATTTGTCGCATGTGTTCGATTGTTTATCATATGGTTTTTTTTCCTTCTTTTTAATCAAAATATTACTAAAAATGTTTTTCCGCGCCAAATATTTAAGTCTAAATATTTACTTTTCATGTTATTCTCAACCAAGTCCCGCGGGTCGCATTGAGATCTTCATTAAGTCCACGGGTCATGGATTGCGGTGAAGAAAGTTTGTTCTATAAATTACACTTAAGTTGTGATACATGAGCATTCTACAAATAAGGCCAATCATAATAATCTGGGTCCTATTTCAAAGGCTTAAAGAATCAAACATTCGATAGCGAAAATTTCTTAAATACGGTTTGTAATATATTGTACTATAACTGTAATTACTAAAATTGTCATTCATCCATTCCGAATATTTTGAAAATTCAAAATCCTTTTTTTTTAATTAATTTGTATGAGTAATCTATTTTATTTCAAATAATAATGTACATTAAACGCTTAATGTAATATAACATCCTTAGTGCTTATAAATGTTTTATGCACTTATTTGTTTCATTCTTTTTTATTTTTACCTAATGAAAAGTAAACATATATATTTTTTAATAAATAAAATATTAAGAAACGGATAAAATATGTCACAATGTAGTATAGGACAATAATCACTATGCAGGGCAGTTAAGGACAGGAGTTCTGAACCTGGTTCAGACTACAAAATTTCCCAAGGGACACCGATAAAAATAACGTTGAAGCAGCACCCTAGAAAGAATACAGGGGACACAGATATTAGAGAAAACAAGAGAGTAATGTACAAGAAGGTAGAAGAAAAATATGTACTCTTAAAATGAGTTTACCGTTTACTGCGAGGTCTTATCTACCGCTTTCCTTACCATTTTGTTTTCCCAACTTAAAAAAAGAAGAAATTTCAAATTTCACTTATACATATAAAAATAAATATTATCTCTTTAAACAGATTTTTTTTTGCATTATATTAAATACTCATGAATATATGTTGATTTACAAGGAGAAAACGCGTTTTTTTTTTTGCTGTTTTTGGCGTATAAAATCCAAAACGATGTGATTGATAAAAAAATAACCCCGTATTAATTAGCTTTATATTAACCTTATATACCCTATCTAAATTGATCATAATGTACACTTTTCACAATCATTAGCTATTTTATAATTTGCTCGAAAACTGGCGAAAAAATCGCCAACCCCACAAGAAAACTTACCATAAGGAAACTTATGGGATATGTTTTATAACTAACAAAAGAAGAATCGCCGACGCAAACCTAATTTACGTCCGACTTTAGTTCCGATGGGTTCTAGGATGTGAGAAAAGATATACAAGTTTTTAAAGTTACGAGATTTTTTTCATATATTTCTATTTTTGCGCCCGTCTGTGAAATAGGAAAATAATTAGTTAGAGAAAGCAAAAATTTTTAAAGCAATCCTTCACGTTTATTAAGGAATTTGACTAAATTGAAATGTTTTGACTATGAAGAGCTGGAAATCCTCCCATCGATGATATGGATGGATTGTTACTAGATCCAAAAATTAGAAGTTTTTTCACCCTCTTCCTCTCCCCCCGAACTGACTCCCCACCTCCGAAAAAAATATATCCATAAAAGCCAGTTATCAGAGAAATGAAAATAAAAATCATTTGTCATTTGATAATATTTTATGTAACATTTTAGCATGCATTTTTTTTTTACTTTTTTAGAAATTATTTTTATAAACGCATTCTTGTATAATTTTATCATGAGTTTATGTGTTACGCAAACCGGGTAAAAATAAAAATAAATAAAGAAGAAACCAGTCAGTTAAAAAAACATGCAGGAAAAATAGATGTGGGCGTAATAAAATTGACAGAAAAAAATATTTACGACCGATTCTGAACTGACTTCCACAAGACCGAAAAATAATAAAAGACCAATATCTACAAGACAATAATATCTTCAGCAGTCGATCGGTAAGAACAATATTTACTACCAGTCCTGCGCATGATGGCAGTATCCAAGAGACGTGACGGGACTGAAAAATACATCGTTGTTGTTTGATAGCAGTGTTTTATATTTTGCCGACTGAGCGGTTACCTTTTCTCTTTGCTGATGCTTTGGGAAGAATAACTCGAGCAGATGTCTTGATAACTAACTCATATATTGTAAAGAGGTTAAAAGATGCTATATATTGGGTTTTTACGGCCTTATATGCTCTAAAAGGCCTTGTAAGGCTAAAAAGCTAAGGAAGTACATATCCTACAGGATACTAACCTATCCTAGCAACCAATAAAAAGTTCGAAAGATATTACACTTGTACTTCACCAAATAAAAATTAGTGTGCACAGTCTAGTTTGAAAAGTCGCCGCTTCTGACAGGAGAATCCTGACTTCCTGCCTCAAAATGTTTGGTCATTTCGGCTTTATTATTTTAGATTTTACCCTGGTGTATTTTAGATTAAAATAAAAGAAGACACAAATGTAAAAGGTATAAGAGTAGCAAACACAACTTTGGTTTTTACCAAGTCTGTAAAAACAATACAACAGAAGTGTGCCTTTTTTCTTTACACAAGGTTCTCTTGTGAGCAATTCCCTCACATTGTATTTTTTTACTCTATTTTTAATGATTGCTGTTATCAAAATCGTTGTAGTTTTTAATAACAGTATTATGCTTTTATGATCATTCTGGTATCAATAACTTAAAAAATATTTAACTAAAATAAAAACTAAAACTTATTTATAAAAAAAAATCATAAATTGATTAAAACTTAATATGATTAACAAATATATGAGTCTTATATTAAAACTATGATACAATTTAATATTAATATAATGTATAACATTAATGGCATAATGATTCATAATAATTTCTACTCAATTTGTAACAGTATTATTGAAAATATGATTTTATTTATTTTTCATAGGATTGCTAACAAACAATTTGTTTTTTTTATTTAAAAAATGTGTAGACAGAAAAGCATCGCATACCACAACTTTAATGCATTAACGGTAATCGAAAAGTTGTGAACAAATTATAATAAAATGAATCACTATGTGTAAACTTCCAATATTTCTGTGAATCAAATTACAAAAATTAATGACTTCCTCAAACTCATAAGAGACTCAAGGTGTTCTGTTTTATTCAATATTAGGTACTTGCTAATTTCTAGACTAATATCCTGATATTAAAAGGTTTTTTTTTTGGACCAAGAATGTAAAATAAAAAAAATAGTCAAACTCTACCATTCTTGATAAAATGTCATATGGCCAATATATTGGCTTTTGCTCAAATTTACGTTAATGTCTATCCCTTGATGATTGATTAACATATTCATTAACAATAAAAATAATATTCCAAGTGAAATTCGTCAAATCTCGATAAAATATGATCTGTGGCATATGTTACATTAGTTTTCAGTTTTTTTTATTTATTTCTTCTTGGACATAAATTTCTTTGTTCTATGCTTACACTTTCCTGTTCCCAAAACCATTTAATCATTAATTGTAGATTTGGTAGAAGAGTTAATGAACTTAAGAATTATATTTTTGTTTTGGTGGTTTGTAAGTACGAAAGGATTCATTTTGTGAATAAAATAAATACAAGTATGATTTTGTTAGTTCCCATTAAGAAGCATTCTTCATACCCTTTATTTTTCCCAGCATTACACATTCCTGGTGAGTCAGGAACTTCTGTATTCTTCATATAAAAGTAGAACAATAATTCACATCTTAAACTTACGATCTTTAAGTACCATAATTTTTTACATTACATAATTTTATAAATGACATGTCTGATGAAATATATTTTAATGCTATAAAAAAACTTATTTTTTAATTCAGTAAACTCTAATATAAATAGCCAAATGTTTTTCAATGTAATTGAAAAATTAAGATATTAATATTTTTTTTTTATTTACATTATTAGTTGCGGACAAATTATATTACCACATTATAAATATTTTCAGGAAAAATTTCTTTGATAAATTATTCATTTGATAAATCATATCATTCATGTGTTTTAACCCATCTTCAGTGTGTTTGCTATCTTTTGCTTAAAAATAAAATAATTAAAAAATAATTTGTATCAAAAATAAATATTTTAAACTTTAACAATCATTACGTAAACTAATTTACCTTGAAGAAGAGTTTTTCTATTATTAATATACGGCATTACACTCTCTTTTGTCATATATTACCCTTAAATTAATATCTATGTCATGCTTAATTCACATACAATTACTAAAAATCAAATTGATTATGAAGAGTGTTATTCTGTCCTAATAAATAAAATCTATCTATCTATAAATTCACTATATACAGAGAAATATAATCTATCTATCTATCTATCCCTGTCACTCTGTAACTACATTCATCAGAGACTGGACAACTAATACAATTTGTTCTTATCTTATTTTACTATTTTATTCTCTTTCCTTCTCACTCTCTCATTCTCTTTCTCTCTCTCTCTCTCTCTCTCTCTATATATATATATATATATATATATATATAGATACATAAGTACAAATCTGGCCAAAAACTAACTTCTAAAAATTGTAATATTATATATATTATTTAAAAAGTATGTAACCAGTAAAAAATAAAAGATATATACAATTGAACATAAAATCTTCTCAAAATTACTTAATTGTGATGAAAAAAAAAAAAAAAAGAAGAGAAATTACATATTTATATATATACATAACTACACAATTTATAAACAATAGGCTATCTAATAGAAAACTAACTTAATACAAAATGAAATAATATCTACAGTGGTTTATATAATAATATGCAGACACTAAGATAAAATAAAGTCTTACGATACTTGTGGTGTAATGGAAAAAAATAAATAAATAACTAAAAGGAACTATTTATACGTACATTCTCATATTGGGCACACATAAAGACAAAGATATAAAATATGAACATATATACCCGAAAAAAAAAACCACAACCTGAGGAGAAGGGAAAAATAAATAAATAGTAAAAATAATAGTCAAACTAGGTGACAAAGATCATTGCTGTTTTATGTTAAAACTTAAACAGTAGGCATCACTATTTACTTCACGCAAATTCAGTTCATAAAATGAAATTTATGGTGGTAAATCTTCTGTTTGGGATGTAAGAAGATATTGGAAAAGGAGGTATTTGAAAGTTGACAGGGAAGAGGCATGACGGATGTTATGTGGCAAAGAATTCCAATAGGAGACGGAGCGGGCTAAGAAGGAACGTTCATAGATTTTTGTCCTGTGGAATGGAATATAGAGGTCAAAAACACGGGATCTTGTTTTTATTGAGTGGACTAAGGGTTTAGGCTGGAGGAGACAACAGATATAGGAAGGGTGCTGGGAGTTGATCGTTTGGTATAAGAAATTTCCAAGGAAGTATAGGCGGCGGGAAGAGGGGAAGAGCCACTTTGACTCGGCATATAGGTGGGACACACGAGACCATCCCGAAGTGCCGAAGACGAATCTTAAAAAACAGTTCATGATTCTCTTCAGTCTGTCCTCAAGCTCCAACGAGAGGCCACCGTATACCACACAGCCATAGTCAAAGTAGGGGAAAATCAATGAGGAAACGAGGAGCCTGCGGATAGGTAGTGGGAGATGCTGACGAGAACGATGAAATAATTTAAGAGTACCAATAGACCTTCTGGTTATATATATATATATATATATATATATATATATATATATATAATATATATATATATATATATATATATATATATATATATATATAATTAATTCAAAGTTTTTTATATTATATTTAATATTTTAGTATATATCGATTACCTAATATATATTAATTAATATTAATATCTAAATCAATTAGTGTATATCAATTTATATGTTACTATAATCAAGCTGTTGATTATATGTGCATAATGGCAATAAGGATTTTTTTGTGTCTGTTTTAATTAAAACGAATGATTTTCTTTATATTCTTAGTGATTTTAATTATGCCAGTTCTTTTTCTATTTTTTATAGAGCTAACCATACCTAAAATTTTTGAATTTTTATAAATGAAACTATCATTATTCATTATAATATGACGTGGTAGTTGGGTTACATGTAATCCTGGTTTATAACTTTTCGTGAGTCGTCTCTATTAAAGCAATCTCTTCGAACAGCCCTGATGAAGGCCTGAACATCAGGTCGAAACATCGGCAAATGTTAAAATAAATATTACTATTTATTTTTACCATTTTATTTCTGACTGGTCACCCCAACCATCCTTCTCTGCAATATATTTTTACTTGCTAAATCAATTATCTGAATCTTTTCTTTTATATAATTTTCTTTTTAATTTTTACCTGAATAAAAATCTTTATTTTACCTAGTTCTGTTATAAATGTTTTTCTATTTTTATATCATTAGCTTCCCTGATGATACTGCTATTCTATCTTCACACAAAAATCCTACTATCACATCAATTTTCCTTCAAAAACCCCCTCCATGATCTTGAAAAATGGAAAATCAAAATAAATAGTAACAAATCCACCCACGTTAGTTTCTCTCTTAGGAAAGTCTCATACCCACCCATAACAATTGTCAATAATCCAGTTCAAAGAATTGCGTACGGTACATCGGACTTTAGTTAGACAAAAGACTACTTGGAACATACATAAAATATTAAAAATACAAGAACTTACTGGACGATATAGCCAACTCTCACATCTTCTGGACTACAGATCTTCACTTAAATTACTAACAAAGCAACTGATCTACAACAACCTACTGAGACCAATATGGATATATAGAGCAGAACTTTGGGGTTCGGCAAAAGAAACAAAAATATAAACAAAATACAAACAGTACAATAAAAAATTCTATGAAAAATTGTTAACACACATTGGTACATTTCAAATAAGATGATTTGGCAAAACAAACAAAATACAAACAAATAAACAAAATACAAACAGCACAATAAAAAATTCTATGAAAAATTGTTAACGCACATTGGTACATTTCAAATAACACTATACATAATGACTTAAAAATCCTAACAGTTAAATCCTACATCCATGACAAATACACTACATTTCATTCTTCAAATAAAAATCACACCAATCTTCTGATTCTTTCTACCTCCTGCTCCCTGTTACCTGAATGTCGCAGATTAAAAAGAAAATGGCCAAGATACCTACTATATCTATAAAAAAAAAAAAAAATCAAGCAAATACACCAAAACAATATAAATACAACAAATTTGTTAGATGCGCTGCCACACAGGTGCAAATTGTATAGAATATAAATAAATTGATAAAATAAATAAAATCATTATCTTCAGTAATATAATTTTTGTTAATTTATTGTTATGGAAAAAATTACCAATATTACATCTCAATTGGGTAAATAATTCTTACTAAAGCAGGCTTAATGCAACAATGTGTTGTAGAAAGGCTTTACCATATTAGGAATAAAAAGTTGACAGAACTTTTTCAAATATTAGATTTTTCTTGATTATTTAGAACATACTTTTGGCTCATTAAACTAGCTGCATGAAGTTATGACCACTGTTAAATTATATGTGATTTAGCAGATTGGATTTAATAATGCATTGATTAAAAAAAGGTTTAAATGCACATTGAATGAATCACCATTGATTAAATGTATATTTGTTATCTAACCTAAAGGCAACTCGTAATCTTTGACTTAGGAACCACTGGTATAAATATCTTTAAACTATATTGAATTAAGACTAATTTTGAAGTTTCAAGACAACATTTTATTTTACAATAGCCCTCAAAACCATAAAGTAAGAAAAAGATTCCTTCAGCATCTGAAATGAGTATTTCTTTGTTAATAACATTGAATAACATCATATTAAGATTATAACAGATCAGCATACAATTAGAAATGATATTTAATAGCTAAATTTCAGTATTATTAGTTCATTATAGAAAGATCCTAAGGCAATATCTTCAATCTCTTGAATATATGTCAATGTTATGCCATTTAAGCCAACAAAAGCAGATTATATTGATGGTAAGTAAAAACAAACTTCCGTCTACATGTATTGTCATGATAGCTTAATTGGCTAAACAGGACTGTTTCATTATTAACTGCTCTTGAAAGAATAAAAGTTTTACATTAAGTCTTCCAGCACTAACCTAATTATAATTTTGCACATTATTTTGTGGTTCATATTTATTTTTAAAAATATCACATCAAAATTTTGGGAATGTAAAACTGATATTCAATGAAGAAGTAATGGAGAATGGGAATACCTATCTAGAAGCAAATTTTAATCTGGGGAAATAAACCAAGTAGTGTCTAACAGGATAAAGAAGTGAGTAATACATATAGTTAGATTTGAAATACTATTGTGGGAAAGATTGGATTAATGAAAAACGTCTAATGGTATATCTTCAAATCGGTTAATCTTCCTAAAATATGGCAATTTGGATCAAACAAAAAAAGTATTTAAACAGGATTATAGTTGTTAAAGTGAAATTTGTATGCAGAATACTGGAAAAGACTAGGAAAGAAAGAATTAGTAATGGAAGAATATAAGAAGAACTAAGATTCATTTATTCAAATCAACACTGGAATGCCAACAACTTTGATGGTTTGGGCAAATTTGTAGAATGGGTGAGAGAAGGGAATATAAAAAAATTATATAGAAGCAAGATTTTTTGACAAAAGACCATGAGAAAGGGCTTGAAGAACTGATGGCTATTTGTAGTATAACTAATGGTTTGAGCAGGAAAGAGGGAAAATCCTCCGAGAAAACCATTACCAAAAGACTGAGATGGGTGGTCAAAGTGGCTGGAGATTCCTCCACGTTGAAAGGCTTATAAAAGATAGAGAAAGAATACAACCATTAAATTTTAAGGATGTTTTTTATTTGGTTTAGTACACTTCAGGGTGCTAGAAGGGGGTTTCATGGTGCAAGATGCACTATTAAAATTTTTGAGGGGGCACATTTTTTCAGGGTTGATTTTTATGAATGAAACGTTTTTACTTATGAACAAGAGAAAAACATGGACGAGACCACAACAAGTGTAATCGGATATGATCTGCAGTTATTCTAATTCACCTTTCACTCACACTGTTTTTAAGGAAAGGAGAGCAATAAATCTTGGAGGGGATGGGCACCTCTGGTACTCTTATATTAAATTAATGTAGCAGGAAAATTATGCTATCATACTATTTAAAAAATATATTACAACTGTTATGTTGAGATAGAGATTTATTAAATTGTCCAACTACTGAATAAAAGGTAACCCTTAAATTAATTGAAATGGAATATTGTAAATGATGAGTTGTGTTCAGGAAAAATATTATTCTTCAAAACAGAAACTTACAACTAGCTTTTGGTAATCTCCTATGAAAGTTAAAATTAAAACAACCTAATCAGTTGCTAGAACAAAGCTTTGAAAGAGAAAATTGATGATGTAAAATGACCATAAGCATAAAAGAAATACAATTCTTGTTGGAAAACAAGAAAAGGTAATGAGTCTTCTTATTAGCCTAAAAGTCTATTACTAATCAAATAACATTATCAAAACATTTATTCATAAAGTGATTAATGAATTAATGAGAAATCAAGTTAAATTGTCATGTATATAAAAGATATTATAGATCAAGATGAAAACAATAATTTTAGAAAACGTTTATTTTTCTTACCAAAAGGAATGTTTCTAGATGAATTGTAAAAATATGGCCACCATTAAGTTTGAAATGAGCCTTTGTAAATGTTTCAAATATATTTAATGATTTCCTAACTTTGAGATCACACTGATACCATTTACTCGCATATATGCTATGGTGTATATCATTGCTCTAAAAAAAGATTGATATGTATAAAAAACAAGCAAACAAATAAACCTAAAGTAATCGATAAGGTTTATCATAAGTTCTACATAAATGGAATTAAATGTTTGGCTTTTCAGAATATATGATGCAACAATAAATACTAGATAATATATAAAAATTACATTACTAGTGAAATATATACAGCGTGGTCTATACATTTAGATAAATAGAAATGATTAATTATTCATATCCTCTCTTTAAATAATCTACTTTATTGGCTACATTAATTGCATCAGTTAGTTGAGAAACTCTTGAAGTCAAAGAGACCAAAAAATGTAAGGGTAGAGCAAAAGTTTTCTGTTATAATTTAGATTTAGGACCATCTGAATTAAAAATATATTAATGTATAATTAATTAAGAAACATATAACATTTATTAAATCAGAAAATAATGATTGTATCATTTAACCTTTTAACAACGATAAGGCTTTACATGACGGCAGTACTAGCCACCACTTCTCCGTGCCCCTAAAACGGAATACTAGGAATTACATCACCTCTAGTGTCTACTTTATTGTTTTTATTAAGTGATTCATACCAAAATGCCCATAATCTCCAGCCAGTTTAAAATAAGAATCCATCACTGAGCACACTGTCATTTAATAAGAAAGAGCCGGACAAGCTTCCGACTCATATGTGAGTTCACTGTCACCCAGGCATGGTTCTCTCTTGACTCATTATGAATTAATCATCGTTAAAAGGTTAATTAGAATGCCAAAAGAAAAAAAAATAAATAAATTGGTGAGGACAACATTGTCATATTTATTTTGTGATTTTATCAATTCACATTAAAAATGTGAATCGGTTAATGCTTCAGACCATTTTAACACTAAACAAAACCACGTTATTTATCATAATGTTAAAGATTCTTTAAATTATTATATTTAATAATAATATGAGATCTACTTACATGTTGAGATATTTCTTCTCCAAGCCAACAATAAATATAGAGCTGCATATATGTTGCTGATATGATTGCAACAAATTTTGGTACATCCATTATATCATCAATCTGTAAATTTTGATTATTTGTTAATTGTGGTTAGTTTATATATCGAAATAAAATATTGGGATTTGATTAAGTGTATGTTGTAATGGAAGGTTTTTTCAAGATTAGTCATAAACTACTATAACTGATAAAATTATATTTGGTTTTGTAAGAATGCAATTTAAATAAAACATCTCACATTCCTTTCTTACCTTGTTCTTTGACATTATTTGTTAAATGACTTTTTTTTCATTTTGGATAAATAAATTTTGGATTTAGGCGTTTTAATCAACAATAATTCATAAATTCTCATTGAAGAATTGACGCGTTTGCTCAGATTTGTGTTTTTTACAGTTATAAGAAAAAATATCTTTATTGTTACATAATTTTTTTTTTAATCTTATTCTTTTTTGAGTTTGCTTGTACCCATAATTTATTGATTAAGGTATACATATATATATACGAGAGGTATCATATTACAGGCGGATAACTATAGCCAAAATCAAAATTCAGTTAGAAGTTGATTCTTAAAGCATTTTAAATTGTGAAATCAATTTTCATTAAAAAAAACAACATATTTTCGTTAAATTTATTGAAGGAAGCTAGTCGACTGTTCTACATATCATGGATGATAAACATTCAGGACCCAGTCTTTTAAAAAAAAATTTTAATTTTTATTTGTGCCAACGTTTCAACCCAAACATGTGGCTCATCTTCAGTGCTAGAACCACTCTCTGAAGATGACCCACATGTTTGGGTTGAAACGTTGGCACAAATAAAAAAATTTTTTAAAAGACTGCTTCCTGAATATTTATCATCCATGATACATTAAATCTAGCTTTGCAAATATAAGCTGATTTCAACATTGGAATCCTGAGGCATAAGTTAATTTTAAAAGAGGTCATTTACTAAACAATGTGATAGATGTACTCTATTCAATAGACTTAACTTTTTAGTAATGGCTGCCTGTTATTTCCAAAAGATAAAATTAATTGATTATAAGAGACTTGGGAAAACATTCCTTTAAAATATTAGGTATGTATTTTGGATTAAAGAAAAACATTGTATCTTTAAATTGTTGAGAGTAAAAGTGCACCAAACACAAAATAGTCATATTATTACATAATTGTATCTGGGGCAGAATTTAAAGTATTTTGGTAATGTATTTTACTTGTTTAGGAAAAAAAAATACAATTTTATATATTAAAATATTTCCTTTGATATATTGTCTGAATCTGGTCTGAAGTGAAATGTGGGTTTCTGAGTTGTGAACTATAAACGAATGATTTGTCATACAAATATCCAGCAATTAAAGTTTACTTTTTATTGCACCTGGTTGGTAATAAGTCACATTTTTAAAGTAAAAATTGTATTAAACAAGTATTTTACTCTTAACATTGGAAGTTTATTTTTTATTTTTCATGAGTTTTTACTACACATCTACCTAGTCTATGAATCGAATGATCAGGACTCATTTATATCAAACATGGACATTTACAATCATGCTTTAATCAATTACTGACATCGGTATTATCAAAGGTGAATTTTACTAACTTTTAAAATTATATTGATATAACATTTTTCACAGATTAATAAAAAATCCAAAGTTGAATAATGTAAATAAAATTATCATAATTGGATCAATTTGAAGCTTAATAATAAATATTGGTTTTGTTTTTTTGTAATAAGATTTTAGATTTGAGTAAATATTGTGTATTTGTATAGACTAAAAGTACCACTACCTGACATCCTCAAAAAATCCTAGACCTCTATTTCATATATTTTTGGTTTCTATATTTCCTCTTTGTATATTTGTCTGCTTTATTTAAGTCTCGTCAGAAATCGTAACCGAAATAATGAGTGGCAAATTATTAAGGTCCCTTGCGATCCACTTAGTGACCCAGGAACAACCATCTATCTGTAAGGACACCATACCTTAGCTTTGTCTATTTTGCTTTAGCTACTTTGATTTATCCCAAAATTTTTGTTTTATTGTTTGTTTTTAGATTATATTATACCTTTTTTTAATTTATCTTGAAGGAATTAGAAATTAAATGGATGCCAGCTACTGAAGCCTTATAATGGGGCCTTTTAACAGACCTGTATTCTGATAAATGCGAAGAGATATCCCTTATATAATGGGTCTTAAAAATGACACCGTTTATTACTCTCTCATCAAAAAAACATACTAATGATTTGGATTAAATATAAAGCAAAAATAGGTTTTCGTATTGAAATACAGGTTCTTGACAGTGACCAGTATTTATTGTATTTATTTAAGTTGGAGAACGAAATTAAGTTCGTTTTACAATAAGTTAAAGATGATATTTGTTAATGTCTATTTTAAAATTAAGGTATATTGTAATGTACACCTTTATTGGAAGTGAGTAAAAAGGGTTTAATAGATTAATGCTGAACAATTGAAAGGCAAGCTAATCTAGTTCTACTAGTGCAGGGAAAAGAAAATGACTGCTCTGTAGTTTCCCAAGAAGGAAAATCCCAAAGAGGAGAGAGAAAAAGGTTTTTGTTTTGGCAAGAGTAGTTGATGTTTGGCTGGAGAAAAGAGAGAATAGGAGAAGAGATCCTGGCTCCAGTGGGTAAAAACCCAGTAATAGTATTACCATCTTGGAATTTGTGTTTGGCAGAACATTGGAAAGCATTTGAAGATAAATGAAAGTAGTACAACAAAGAAAGAAACATTGATATAGACGAAAGGTTAGCTTGCCAATTAATACTTGACTTTATTTTAAAATCAAACAGTGTTTAGTGTAAATAATGTTAGTTTGTCTGAGTGTTTTGATCTGATTGTCAGTAACCCACACCTGAGATAAATAAATATATTAATTCCCTTATAATTTTGTTTATTATTACATAACCTCTTATTTATTTAGAAAGTATCCCAATGGTAAGAAGTGAGCTTCTGAGGTTATATTATTATTATTTGTAAAATATAAGAGGGATGTTACAATATATTTATAATAAAATTGTAATACTGCTCAACTGTATTGAGTTGCTAACTGACATAGCATATTAATCTATCTGGTAGACAATATCTAAAAATAAACTTGATACTCTTCATATATAAAAATGCCCTTTGTTGTTCCTTTCTTTTCTCTCAATTCTGTCTCCCGGATCCATACAGCAATGGCCTAATTTAATAGAGTTAAATGTGCAGGATTCCCAATGAGTATAAAATAATGGACTCTACTATACTCTGTATATCATGCCTTTCAATGTCTGGATTTTCCAAAAAAACTGGCAGTTCAAAGAGGAATGGTCCCTTTACTTCCAAGCCATAGTCCTCGCACCAATATCAAATTTGAAAACTTTATTTTGCATATTTACATCCTTGTTCTAATTCCTGTCAGCTGTAGGAACATTCCAAATCAAATAGAGTCTGCTACTGGTGCAAAACAAATATTCTATGAATTTACTGTTTTTTTTTTTTAATTTGAAAAGATGAATCAAAGAAAAATATAATAACATCTATGTTTAATTTTTTACACGTAAAAGTTCAAAGAAGTTTTCTATAGCATGTCAGCTGTTGGTGCATTTACCCTATATTCTTAAAGATCTAATATAATTTTATAAACTCATATATTTATTAATTATTACAAAATATGAATGTAGGTAATCTATATTCAATAAATATACAAATGGATACCTTTGAAGCTGCATAAAAACACATAGTTGACACTATTGTTGTCTGAAGAACTTGGATTAAAAATATATCAGTCAGAAGCTTATCGAATTCCCTGATCAGTCTTTAAATGAAAATAATGCAATTAGTAATTAAACATAAAATATTTTGTCAATGATATACTAAACTCGATTTAAAGATTATATAGCTTGTCCATTAGTATTGGAAAGTTCATTAAGGGGAAAACTCCATTTGATAAGATTTATTCTTCAATTTGATTTATTTACTACATTACTGAACTGTAGATGAATTACATCAGTAGTTTTTATGTGTGAAATTTCACTGTTAGCAATTATTTTTTATAACATTACCATTCATTTCATCTAATTAGTATTAAAGAAAATAAGAATTTATTTTCAATAAATTATTTCTTTTCTTCAGTAAATAACTAGTTGTGGTCATGCCACCAATTATGGACACACTTCTATTTTCACAATGGATAGCCACTTGGGAAGTATTTATACTTACTAGCAAGTACCACTCATTTCTTTCTCATTGGTGTATATAATACTTCCAGAAAATGTTGCAGTGCAATAGATGCATCTCCAATTAGTATTCTTCAGGGATTATCGTGGAATTACCTCATTGATTTAAGATTTTTAAGGAATGCATCTTTTCGTGTGATTTTCTGCTTTTATAGAGAATCCATTAACTTGAAGTTTTTCAAGTTAATTAAAATAGATTTTCAACTGACCACAACTGGTTTATAAAAATCTGAGATTTAAGTTTTGGTCACATCTATTTCAAATTTTTGAAATAGCTTGACTATTTGAAGTGTATTACACTTTTTAAAAAAAAAAACAATAGTGATGATAGCTTGAAGAATAAGATACACAGGAAATCTACACTACTGACCAATTCCTCAGTTTGTTTTTGGTTTGGGAGGACAAAATTAACCAATTATTTGTCATTATAAATCAACAATACAAATTTAAATACAATATGCCTAGACATTACTATCTATTACTAGTAATGGATGGTGAAGAGATTTTCGCCTTTGATATTACAATATCTCTAATAGAACTACTGAAGTAATATAAACAACATACTCCCATGTTTCTGGAAAAGATATTGGTGGTAGGTTTAATTTAGATTCAAATATTTTGATAGAAGAGAATGATGTTTTATGATTTTGTCTTATATTATACTTATCAGTTTAATATAGATGAATCTGTGATTCTACCAAAAACTTTCAGCTCCTATAAATCTCTTGCTCAGAAAAAATGTATAAATATACGGTGAACAAGCCCAAGCTATTTGTCCAAGTTATTTTAAATATGTTTTTATACTATAGTATATTAGAGTTATACTGTTTTACATTATATTATTATAATGTTATCATAACCGATTTTGATAGCCTTGTAAGAAAGATATAGCATATTTGTCAACTTTACAAGTGGTTGTGATTCAACATATTTAACAATAATTTGCCAACTGTTCCATCAAACTGTTCCTTCCTTAACTGTGACTATAACCATTTACTTACCCTGTGTCAAATTAAACATAACTGGAATATTATCTGGCTTCATGGAAGACTCATAGATTGATGATCATTTAAAATAAAGCTTAGTGGTTAGCCTGTTTTGAAAGTGGACTCTTTAAATCTTTTATATGAAAATTGGCAGTTATTTTTTTCTTTTAAAATGATTTAATTATTACTATTATTTTTTTAAAGTTTCTTTTGGTTTTCCAAGAAGAGACATAAATTATCATTAGATAAAATTAATTATCATTTGATAAACTTCATAATACTTAAAATCCATAATACTTAAAATTCATAAAACTTTATTTATTTATTTTTTAATTAGGAGTTTTCATATTATATGTTTCAACTTTAAATAATTGCTTACCTGATTATTTTTTGTTTGTTGTTTAAAAGTGTAAAACCCTTAGATCATCAACTCCTATGGTGCTTACCTGATTATTTCCACATGCTCTAAAACTGCCATTCTTAGAATATTTTCATCATTCAGTTTCAAAGTAATTCCTTTCTGATGATTGTCATCTCCAATTGATAGTAGAGATTGGGAGACACCTGCTAATCTTCTGGAATAAAAATTAATGTTATTCTAAGTTACTAATAACAAAATATTTATCTATTTGTACCTACCAAGTGAAATATCAGTTTTGCTTATTTTAAGTGTTTATCAAAATCCTTTGCTATACTAAACTTTACTGCCATAATTTATAATTTAGTAATATTGATTTTGAATAGAAGGTCTTGTATTACTATAAATTAATAAATGATTCAAAATATAATCATTTAGTTAATGTTATTCACTGTCATAACTTCATAAATTGGTGTTTTAACTATCTTAGTGTCTTAATTATCCTGGAAACAAGTGTTAAACAGACAAATTTATTTATTTTGAGAAGGGGAGGGCTAATTTAATTAAGTACAAAGCACTAAATAATTAATGTTAAATTTATGGATGGGTTACAATTTATGAAATTTCACTAAATCAGAAACCAAGATAAAATAATTTATTACTGAAATACAGAAAGGTGATGAAAACATACACAAAATATGATATAGTAAAGTTGCTGAATGTCAAAAAAAAAAAAAAAAAAAGCAATGCCATCCTGAATAATACTAACCTCTTTTTCTTTTAACCTACTAACCTCTTCTAACCTTTCAAAAGAACAATAAGCCCAACTTTTGTTTTACTTTCAAATACTTATATATGTATAATATAGAAAGGCAAAATATTGCGATTGTGAACATTTTTGAATATAAATAATCAATTCCCAAAAAATGGTCTATTTGAAAGTGAATAGACTAGCTCAAAAACAAAAAATTGTGCAAAACTGATATGTATTCAAGATAGGTATATGCTTGAGATGTTACAGCAATTTTCCTGAAAATCGGGTAACTGGAAGTGCCACTTTATATCATAAATTTTACATTTATTTTATTAATTTATTAATTTATACCATAAATTTTCTAGGAAACGGCTTTAATAATTTTGATTAAATTCAGTTAATCACTCTAAAATTAAGCATTTTTTAATACAATGTAGGTCTAATTCTAATTGATGTCCTAAAACAGAGCTTAAAAGTCTATTCCTCTATCTAAAGTACCTTTAATTATTTTTATTTGAAGTGACTAACTATTTCATAGTAACCTGTTATAAAAAAAGGTTAAATATAAAAAATGAAAGAATTTTGTAATTAAGTAAAGATAAATATGGAACTAAAGGATCGATGAAACCTGAATGTGTCCCTGAGTTTGGGCAATGGGTATAGGGTTCTATACATAACAGGTGCCTAATAAAATACAGACTCTCATAATATGATATATAAATGTATAGTGTTATTTAATATTTAATTGTATAGATTGCAGCAATATAGAAATTAAAATTAGTATATAGACCAATGCTTAAACAAATAAAAATAGCTGCAATGAAAGATAAATAAATATTGCGGCCTTCTATAGCGGTGGCACTCTTGTCAGATTAAAAATATTTTGTGGTATTGTTTATTTATTACAATCAAATAGATAGTTAATATATACAATTATAAACGTAATTGGTTAGTGACAAAAAAAGCATAAATATAATATATTAGATTTGTGTGAAAAAAGATATTGTAATTAACTGTTTTAAATTATATGTTGTACTGTCCATAATGTTTGCTTCAACTTCCCTTTGTCCGAAAATACCTATTTCTGCTTAAAAAATGATTTTTGTGACTAGATTTTTATAAATTCCTCTTGTTACTAACAGAAGATAAAAAACATCTAAAACAAGAAACAAAACACTAGCATAGGGAAAATCATTTAAATATGTATGTTTCCCATAATTAGTGAAATTCCTAACCGCACATTTATAATTAATTTCATAGAGATGGAGAGAAATCTTCATGTGATAGAAAAAAATTATAACTTTATAGAAAAGAAAGTTAAAAAGAAAAAAAAACACAAATAAATAATCGTTATAATATTTAAATTATAATTATAATTATATTTTATGTGTATTAAATAGAATTCATCAGTAGCTGCTGCAACCTTGTGGCAATAAGCTGAACTACTTGAATTTTACTTTCTTGCTTAGTGCTGCTCTGTGGCATAAAACAGAAGTTACGCTGTGGGTTGGATATTTGTTATTATTTATCATGTTTACACATTTTAGGCTAAACAAATTAAGTAACTAGTTTATGGGTACTTTTTTTGTTTAATAGTTATATTAGTCTTAATACAATGCTAAAAATAATTAGGTCAAATCAGAAGTAACTCAAACATTGATATTTACCTACCTTTTTTTATTCCGGATAATAAAAAATTAAGATTGCCTACTTAATTGAACTTGAAAAATCACTTTGTGGTTTAAACATTTTAATTATTCTATATCAATTTGTTTAATTATTCTATATCAGTTTATATTGTGTCATAATAAATGTTGTTGCTAATGTCTCTGTCAGAATAGGAAAATAGACAGTTAAAAACAAAACAACAAGTAAAAATGCATATTAAATTAACTAGTTTAAGTTAATCTATTAATTAAAGTATAAATGTTTGTCAAAATAAATAAATAAATTTAAATAAATACAATGTGCAAATTATTATGTATAAGTGAAATGTTTAAGAAACAGTTTTCTAAATGACACGTTTAGAAAGTAAATAAAAGAAAAATGGAGGCCTGTTACTCAAATTATTCCTATCACTAGATTCATTTATATATATTATGTATTAGATAATGTGAAAAAAAAATGTGTATTCACTAAAACCAGATACTTTTCTTAAATACATAATTATTGATCAGGCACATACAAAGCTTAACTAAAGTATTTACTCAACACTATTTGCACCTTCATCATGGTTCCTTGCTAATTCTTACCTCACTGAAATTAAGCAGTCCAGGTTCTAATCAAGGGAGAACTACCTCTTCTTTTCTTGAATTTTAATAGAGAAGTACATGAATAGTGTGGCATTATGGGCATGTTTTCACAATTGTGATACTTCAGAAAAAATATATGTAGAAATGTTATACGAACATATCCAATAAATTCTTTATTATGTTTTAAGACATTTATGTAGCATTCTATAATGCTTAATATCTAATAGTCACACAATATTTGAAAACATTTTCAAACACTCACCTGCAAATATATGCTGCGATGAGCAATACAATAGTATCCACAGCTTCCTGCGTATAAGCTACTGCCAGAAGGCTTATTGATGCAAAGAAGTATACAATTGAAAATTTTATGAATGTATCAGTTTCAAATGGTGTCCAGTAAGGTAGTAGCAATCTTAAGTCACCCGAGATCCATGGGTAAGCCATCCAAGCAGAAAGAATAACCAGTAAGAACAAGACATATATTTTACTCACCTGTGAAAATCAATCAATGATTCTGAAATATCTTCACAATCATGCAAGAGAGATAAAGGATCATCTAAAGAAATAGCAATACCATTAAATAGAAGTTGTTAGATTCAAATGTTGTTTAACAGTAGCAAGTTAATTTTTTTTTATAAATGTATTATAGTTTTTAGTGTAAAGTAATTAATATTTCTTTGAGAGACATCCTTTTCATTTTGAATGCTTATTTTGAACATAACCTGCACTTGTGATTATTAATTAATATCTACTATTCTTAAAAAATAACAGCAACATACAAACAAATTACTGTTTTTTTTTTTTATAAACACTAGCCACTCAGTGGTTCCCCTTCATCATATCTATAATATATGTCAGAATTTTAACTCAAGCGAATAGTAGTTAGCACTAGCGGGTCCGGGATTTAATTTTGGGGAGGGCTTCAGTCAAAAATAATGATAATTCTTTGGAAAAAAGGAAAGAAACTAACTACCTATATTAAATGGCGTTTAAGTGATTCGTAAAGTCCTTTTAAATGTAACTACATGAACAATAATACTTTAAGAGATTTGCGATTTTGGGGGAGCGAGGGGGGTGAGGGAGAGGGGCTTCAGCCCCAAAGCTCCCCCCCCGTAGATCTGCCCGTAGTAGTTAGATCCATAGTTTAGCTAAAGACTATTGTTATATGAATTTCTTTCTTAATTTATGTATTTATCTTATTAGCATCAATTCGAAGAAGAAGCAATTTATTTATTTAATTACTAGTAATAAAAATAAAAACATATTTTTATTAGATTTTTCAAACTTAAAAGTTTAAATGAAGTCCCTCAAGTATAGTTTACTAAAAACCATTACATGTTTTTATCTATTTTTTAAATTCAATCATCTTTAGTATTCAAACTTATAATTAATACACAATTTTAGATTAAAAAAACTATAAAGCAAATAATCTATCAATCGTTGCAACAATATGTTCATAGTTTATTTTTTTATGACAGTTTATTTACAAACTATTCCTCCCTTTAAAACTTTATTTTAATCTTTAGTCACTTATATAAATCTATTTCAACTATGGGAAATTCAGTAGCAATGATTTATCATCATTTTAAATAATTAGTATAGGAATGCCTGATATTATTATAATTTAGTAGTTTATGTTGTTTGATTATCATTAATTCATTATCCAGTTTTACTTATTGATTAATATTTTTTGTTCTGCTATTTAAAAATAGTTTGTTAAATAAAAACTAAATTCATTTTTAATTTAGAAAAGCAACACTACTTGTTGTTAGTGTTACTTATTTATTGAATATCGATTCCATGAAGGAACAGAAATACATATAAAATTTTCATTTCCTTAAAATTTTCTTTTACTCTTATTCATAGTAACAGGTATACATTGGGGATGCAAGGCACTTCCTGCCCCTACTCTTCCCAATATTTTTTGTAGGTGGTCAGCTCCCCTTCTCAAATTTCAATAAACTTTGTAGGTGATAATTATATGACTAATTGCCTGAATAATTTGCATAGTAATTGGTGAGTGAACAAATGACAGAAAATTATGGAAATAAGTAAATTCAATGCATTGAAGGGACTCGACACAGAATAACTAAAGTATTATTATTATGAGAGTAAGAAATAATGATTCAAGCACTTCATTCCAAATAATAAACCAAAAATATGTTTTTAAAATCCAATTAGTTGTATCATAGATAAAAATGGCAAAATTTGGTTAGTTTTTTAAATAGTTTTGTAGGGAATTTGGGAAGCTTATATACCATAATATATGCACCATTAAATGTATAATTTCTGAGTTATGTAAAATTAAAATTTTCTTTCCTTCATAAGTTTTTTTTTTATTTTGGAGGATGTTCTTATTTTTCCCTCCTGAAGTAGGATATAATCTTCAAAATAATGGTTCGTTCATTAGATCTTATTAAGAATTAAGGAAGATATGGCCAGAGATGGGAAAATAGTACTCTGTATACCGAAGACCAAGTATTTTACTACAATCTATACCGTTGGCTATTAGGCCATTTAGCTCCTGTCAGCCTAATACAGTTTTGCCATAATGAAGTTTCTAAATTTGATGCTTCCACTGCAAGTAGCTGTCCCCGTCCCATTAGGAAGATTTTTACTAAAAATATCAGACATAGCGGGGAACACTTGTTTGTATATATATATATATATATATATATATATATATATATATATATATATATATATATATATATATATTTATATATATAAAAACACCCCTCCCGTATAGTCTGAAAGGGGAGAAAGGGCAGGAAATAAAACAAAAATTCCTGAAGTCGTTACAATTATTGCATCACTATTGAGAATTCAATCACTACTTCAATTAATCCTTTGAAATCAACTGAAGTAGTAATTAAATTCTTTGATGATCAAAAAATGTCAGTATTTGAGTAAAATACTTGATACTCAGTATTCAGAGTAGCATTTGCACTTCTCTGGATATGGCTTACTGACAAAAACACATCTTTTGATAAATAATATGTTATAATAGAGGTTACTACGCTGCTCCCTTATGTATGACGTTATTTATTTTAATGTATTGAACATCGTTATCACGTTTTACTATTCTTCACCTCCCCCTCCCCTCCCTTCATTCTCCAATAGCTTGTAGGTGCCAGCTTCCATACTAGTATTGTTGCATTAAGATTCGTCAGCTTTAAAGAGCTTATTTGGACGATTCCAGAAGCTTTTCTGCTTAAATTTTACCTATCAACCTAAAGGAGATTTCCCTATTATGTTTCTGATTCTAGTCCACCTTTAATGCAGATAGTAGTGTTGTATCCATTTTTAATTCCTTCGAAATAACAAGAATTTAATTCTTCTGAGCTTATAGAGATCTGACATCCTTTGATTAATAAATTCCATTGATCATGTTGTGGCTTAAGTTTAATGTATCGATAGTTTATAAGTTACCTTGCCTACGCGTCTCAAAAGCCCAGTAGATCCTGGAAGGACCCCGATTTGTGACAATAGATCTTTGAGGAGAATGGAGTGCCTTCGGACTTGACTAAGTTTGAAACCAGCACCCATGGAGACTAAAGCTGCGGCCAGGGCCAAGCAGGCAGCTGCGGGACCCTTTGGCGCGACTATAGACGGCACCAGGGTTCCTGCGCTTATCCATACCAAACCTTGCGCAACGTAGAACTGCAATCTCTTCTTGATCCCTCCTCCAACACCCAGCTGGCGCAGCAGCCACGTTTGACGGGAGAATGGCTCGCTCATGACTGTCTTTTAAGCTCTCAATTGTCTTATTTATAAGTCGACTGGTCGATATTAATTAGCTTTTGATGAGCTAAGTTCAGTACTTCTGAATGATCGGTGCTTCGCTTAGTCATCCGAGGACTAGTAATAAACATAATTTAATTTACCTACTTGCCTAGTGATGAAGAATAAAATATACTACTGTTTGTTCCAAGTTTGTTACTGCTAACGAGTGTTCCAAAGTCGAGCATAATCATAATTGAAAATTTGAGGAAAATATAATAATATGAATTTTAATATTACCAACATTTTTTTATTATATTATCGTTCATTATTTGTCTGAGAACATACATATGTATATCTACTTCTAATAGTACGAGTACTTAATTATAAAAAACATCAGTACCATCCGTGTACTTTTTGAGTTATTCGCAATTTTGTTTTTTGTTCAACGCCTATATCGTTGCCAATAGGACATTCGGTTCCTGTCAGCCCATTACAATTTTTCCATGACGAAATTCTCCAATTTGATGCTTCCACTGCTAGTAGTCCGTCACAATAGGAAGATTTTTACTGAGAACATCAGACAGAGCCAGGCACACTTGTATGTTTATAAAACACTCATCCCTTATGGCCTGAAAGGCGAGAAAATGGAGAAAACAAAATAACATTTCTGGATTCTTTACAATTGTTGCATAAACATTTCAAAGCAATCGGTGAAGAACTTTTGGATATTAGCGGTTTTGAACAAACGAACATTAAAATTTTTATTTATATACACTGTTTTCAATAAATTTTTATTGATAAACTAAAGCTCGTCAATAGTTTTTTCTCCTCCTTCTTCAGGAGCTACATACCAAAGTGGTCCTTGGCCTGCTTCAGGATCTGCTGCCACAGGATTCTCCGTCCAAAATTACTCAAGCAAAAAAAAAAAAAATAATAAAACAAAAGAATATTAGTTGAAAAAAAAAAGCGAAAAAGATACTCGAGCTGTTTTCACGTATTAATGTAATGACAAGAAAAGGTTTCAGCATCGTAAAAAAAAAAAATCTTTATATAACCAATATCTACAAATGATAACAAAAATTACAAAGCTTGTAATTAAAATTTGTAATCACATAATGTTTAGATAAATATAAATTATTTTCGATGACTTGGGTTTTTCATTTTAAGTTGCTATGTTAGAAATATAAGATAGCTTTTTGAATTAAATACTTTTGAAGTCCACCTATTTTCTCGACTTTGTGCTCACATTATCTTATGATTAAAGTGGAAAACAAATGGGTACTTATCGAGTTTTTAGTACATAATTAAATTTTAAAAAATTGACCCCCTCCAGGTTGAAAACGCCCCAATTCCAAGAGTTTTCGTAAATAAAATAGTTGTAGGTTACGATGAGATGAAACTATTTACGAAGTTTTAGGAAGATGTTAGTAATTCGATAAAAAGGGATTTGTACCACGGACTGTATGTATAACAGAAGAAAACAAAAAACATTATCTCTGTAAAATCAAACATAACCTTCCTAGTCGAGGTAGTAAAAAATATACATTCTATCATATACTCTGTATAATCTCTTTATTTTGACAATTTGGGGGTGTTGGTCAAGTTATCTTATGATTAAAGTGGAAAGAATATGGGAATTTACGCGTTTTTAGTACCTAATCAAATACACAAAGTTTGCCGACCTCTATTTTAAAACGCCTCATTTCCGAGAATTTTCGTAAATAAAATATTTGTTGGTTACGATGAGATGAAACTATTTACGAAGTCGGATGTTAATATTTTTCTAAAAAGGGGTCTGTACCACGGACTATAATCATATAAGATCGGAAGCCCGTCATCATATATATTCTTCAGAAACAAATGAGAACCATTAAATTTAAGGCTAACTTTTTAATTTAAAACAATGATGTTAAATCAAGAGAATTTGGACGCGACGGTGAGCAGTTTCAGCGAAATGACAAGAATGGACGGTTGGCAGTATGAAATGCCGTGGATAGTACCAGGGAAATAGAATCTTCATTAGCCCCACTGTGCGACGACGTTAGATCTTATTTTTTTTTTTTTAAGACGACAAAACGCATATCAGAGGAATATATTGGCTGTCTGATAATATATAAATAAACGAATAAAATAAATGAAATACATTTTATTGAAAATTTATTCTTAATGATGCATCGCTTTCACCAGCAGTAGATCCACATCAAATTGATGAAGATGAGAAGAGTGGAGGGCACTTTTGGTCGCGCCGTGGAAGATCGCGGACGTATCTTGCCAACTTTTGGTGCACGGCTAATATTTTGGTGAACATCATCTTCTGTATAAAGATCGGTGATTTCAATACCATAACCACCTCTTTCCAATCTTTCTGTTTCCTGGAATATATTTAGTCCAAGTTTTTATATACATATAATTAATATTTGAATACATTAAACCGAGCTAATTTAAACTGTATTCGTTGATAAAAAAGATATGTTACTTGGCTACATAAGTATTTCTGGCATATATGAATTTGCCATCTCACACCTAGTAACTAAAAACATTGATGTTATCTTATTGACTTTTACCCACTTCAATATACATTTTTTTTTTTCAAAACCTCATTTTTTTAAACAATATAATTCAAGTGGAAAACGAAATAAAGAAAAAAAAACTTTTATTGTCACTTAATTTAAAAGCTAATTGTAATCATTTTTGCTGGAACCACGTGTACTTTTAGGTGATTGGATAGAAAATCACATCACTAGTTTTTCTAATAAGCCCCAACTAAATTAATATGGACTTAAGGCGTATTAAACGATGAAGTTTTTCTAAAAGTGAGGTAATACAGGTGAAGGGTGATTAAAAAAAAAATCACAAATCATTTATGACTTTTTTTTAAACGAAACTTAGCTGTGTTTAGGCGCTCAATAGTTCTCGATAAATCGTTTTCACAATGGAAAACTTTAATTTCATTTAAAGTGAATTTTGCCATGTTTACTAAGGAGCAGTGTTTAATTACTTAAATCAAATATTTTTTACGTTATATCTTCCTATTCAACAAAATACGTGACTCGCTTAAAAAAACACAAATCTTAAATTTCCCTTTTTTTTCTGGAATTTGTGCTGGAATTTGTGCTATTTTTTACATGAACTTTTTTGTAGATTTTGATGTCTATCTTCAACCTCTTAAATTTTTCCCTCTACTTACGGGACACCTTGTATATTAACTTCTAGCATTAATGAATTGAAAAAATATAATAAATATACTTTAAAAAGTCCATAATTGTATTGTTACGTATAATTCTAAAGGGACGTGTCCCAGAATAAATATAAAGCCTGTTACTATTATTATTATGTTTTTTGAAAGATGGTAGCATTTCTTCGATGAGGTTTTCTTTAAACGAGACATCGTAATATAGTTTTTACCTTTCGATAGTTTTAATAAAACTAAAAAAACATAGTTTCGTCCTAATTTTGTGTATTTTAAGAATTATACATTTTTATACTAACACAATATATAAATATCACTAAAGTCAAAAATTAATATTATGTTTTTTATCATGAATAATTAATTATATTTAAATATTAATACCTTCTAGAGTGGGCCGAAGTGTGACGGAACTTTTGGAATCGTCTTAGCAATATACCTCGATATAGTTTCTTAGAATCTTCTTTACAATAAAATTTAACAAGTTTTTGTAATTGTTTAATTTCTGAAGGTTTATCAATATGAACAATTTAAATATAAAAATAAATTACTTAATAATATCGGTTACCCGGATTTCTTTCGTTATTGTTTTAAAACCTTCTGAATGCATTGTACTCATTAAAATTGTTTAAAAGATAACTAAACAACTAGTTTTGCGCAATGTAAATTGATGCACCTAAATTTTGAAATGATTTGTTTAAATTTTACTGCTAAAACACTCTGGATTTGCTTGGAAACATACTATGAACACGCTTGTACAAATTCTAAAGTCGTTTATAGACCTTAATTTCGCATTTCCATCAATGTTTCTTTTTTTGCTTTACTCGTACCACGGTGCTCGCCATTTGATTCGAGAATTTTTAAGAGGACAACACGCTAGGCCATCACTGCCTCAAGTAATATTTCGGCTGTCTGATGGTATTAAGGAAAGGAATAAAATAGAGTAAATATGTTTTGTTAAAAATTTTATTTTCCATGATGCATCACTTTCACCAGCTGCAGACCCACATCAAATTGATGAAGATGAGAAGAGTGTACGACACAACTGGTCGTTCGGTGGAAGACCGGCGTTTTTTGCAGCCTTTTTTTGAACTATACATACGTTCCATAGTTCCATCTTCAGTATTTATAAGATTTCTCATTGTGATATCATGATCACCTCTGCCGAATCCTTCCTTTTGATCCTGGAATACATTTAGTCCAAGTTTGGGTATATATATATGTATATATTAAACGGAATTAATTTAGACTTTATTCGTTGATAAATAAGATGTTTTACATGGCTTTATAAATATTTCTGAAATATATGAATTTGCCATTTCATCCTTTATAACTAAAAACATTCAATTAAAACATAAAATTATTTTATTGAATTTTACCCATTTCACATTTTACTTTCACTTACCTATATATGTAATATATAGTAAGAGAAAATACTGCGATCGTGATAGCTTTGGAATATGAGTTTTCAACGAAAATCCACGTTTTGAGGTTCCCTGAGTCCAAATAACCAAGTACTGCAAAAAGAGAGTGTGGGCGGGGTAGCCGAATGGGCTAAGGTGTGTGCACTGCACCGCCGTTGCCAGGCAACCTGATATCTAGACAAATGATATAAAAATAGTCACGAGTTCGCGTCCTGGTGCCGAGGGAGTCTTTTAAATCCCCGCCCACATCCCCTGGCCCGGGAAAACCCCGTATAAGGGCGGGGTGGCCGAATGGGCTACCCCGTGCGCACCACACCGCCGTTGCCCGGCAACCTGATACATAAGACTTTGATAAAAAAAATAGTTAGCGTCCAGGTGCCCGGAGGAGTTTTTAAATCCCCGCCCACACTCCCTGGCCCTGGAAAACCCCCGTATAGCCTTAAAGGCGAGGAAGGGGAGGATAAAAAAAAAAAAAAAAAAAAAAAAAAATTATGTGTATATTATCACCCTAGCTCAAAAACGAAAGTGAAATTGCATACTTATGGTCTGTAAAATATGCCTGGGATGTTACAGCAACTTTTTGGTCAAAATCGACAACCGGAAGTAGCACTTTGTATAATCGATTTTACGGATCTTAACACTTTTCTCGAAAACAGTTAACGATTTTGATTAAACTCAGTATATATTAATATAATTAAGTGTCCTTTAGTATCATTTAGTACATATCTCCATTGATGTCACTTTACAGAGCTTAAATGCCCAATGTTCAACATGTCTTCCTTTAAAGTACCTTCAATTTGGTTTATGTTAAATAATTAACTATCTCTCATTGTTGGAAGTTACGAAAAAATGCTAAACATGACTTTTAAAAAAAATAGATAATTGAAAAATGAAGAAAAAAGGAAAAATGTTTATTGAGATCGAAAATGAATCTTCGGCAATAATAGTCAAAAGGTATATCGTTTGAAAGCACAGAATTTTAGCAAAAACAATATCTAATATAGAAAGTCGTAGAAGCTAATGGGGAACGACGAAAAATTATAAATAATAATTTGTACAAATATTAATCAACAGAAATCACATGTTTTGACGGAAATTAAATGCAATTTACAAACTAAAAGTAAACTTAAAATTTTTTTTAGGTTTAAAAAAAAGTATTTAAAATCCACCCAATAAAGGCAATGAATTATTTATAAAATTATTTCATTCTACTTTTGGGAAAGAAGTGAAACATAAAAATATTTCATGGACGAATGCAAGCATATGTTTATAGCCTTAAATATATTTACTGTTGTTTATTATTTCTAGATCTGATACTATGTTTAAATTATTAGGTATCAACGTCCGTTTATTCCGAATCCCGTGATGTAACCTTTAATCAAATTAAATTAGTGAATAATTTGATGAATATCCCCTTAGTGAAATCCCAACCTTATTTCACTTTAGTAAACTTTATAATAGGAAATAACAGTTTAATAACAAATAGGCGGACAATCAATAATCATTTTAGTTTGGATATACACATGTACTTTGGAATCTCCCTAATATATACATAGCTCTGAGGTTGGAGTTATGTGCTTTACAAAAACAGTTGGAGTAACGAGGTTTTTATTGCATACCGATGATATAATTAATAGGAATTTTTTTATACTTAATGATTTGTTTACAATAAAATGATAAAACTTACGGACACCCAATATATGAAGAAGGTTAATAATATATACAATATGTTCTGAAATAATCGCATACACTATAATTTCTTGTAGAATGACAAGCGAACAAGGAGGCGAGGAATATTTTAGTTATTTTTGTATTTGGTGTATTACAAATGGTTGTTAAATAAAATTATAACATACAAACATATTTTAGTAGATAAAACATTTTTTTGGTAAGTTCTCTTTTTTTATATGTCTAGATAATGAGCGGTCACTGTTATAAATTTTCTTTGTAGTGTTGCCCAAAATAGGTCTTGGTCTTGCAATTTGCCAGGACGCCTAACTGTTGCTAGACCAAGATTAGGACTGTTAAAAAAAACGACTTTTTAAAATAAAAATTAAGGCCAAATAGTTACTAATACTTGACAATCTTAGTTACTATATGTTAATAATTGGTATAACCAATATACTTTTACATTTAAGTCCTCTAATTTTTCATTTGAGCTTAGTCAGGTATTTACTATCTAAAAAATTACAGTAATATCTCTACAACAATAAGCTAATAAGTAACTGCACGACTGTTGCGAGACTCTCGGTCTCACATTTGGGCAACACTAGTTATTTGTAGATGACTTGAGAATGAGCTAATCAGCTCGAAACGTCGTTTGAAGTAGAATAAAAAAATTTAAATTATAAGGGCGTATATATTCCTTGAAAATATCGCATATATATAAATATACACACATATATACGTATTGTTACGGTCTTTAATTTGGAAAAATCGTTTCCGCAACAAACTTGCCGTATGCTCAGTGGTAGGGTTCGCAAAAAAAAATCAAGAGTCTATTAAATATTATTAACTATCTAACAGGCGCATCGCTATTTAATTTGTTGAATTTGGAAAATAGCGAAAACCATAAAAAAAAATAATAATAAATTTAATAAAAAAAAAAAAGATTAGGACGCGGAGTGAGCTACGAACTTGGAAACTTTGGGAAACATATGTTAATTAACCTCATGACCTATCGAACCTTCTTACTTGGTTAATAATGACTTTCCCTAATCCTTCCAATAGGGTTTTACAATTCCTTATTAAACCTAAAAAACACAATATAATATTTACATAAAACGTGAAAACAAACTTAAGATAAAGAAGAAAATAAAACAGGCTAATATTAATGCTAATGATGAATATACTTATTTCTATTGATTTAAATAACTGTTAAAGGAAATAAAAATTATGAACAAGAAATTAGATTCATAAGAAAACTAAGAAAATACAATTAACTTTAATTACCACAGAAAAGAATATAAAATTATTATAGAAGTAAACATTAACCTATAACTATACAATATCCCAATTAAAAACATTTGGAAATAAAAATAGATAGAAAAAAAAACTTATATGTACATATTTACAAAATCTCAATGCCGAACTTTGTGCAATTGGCACATTGAGCTATCTGAGGAAGCGGCAACTTATTCCAGCTAGCGTCATCAGTGTCTTCCCAGTTTATTTCCTCAAGCTGTGAAAATGTTTATTCACTAACTTGTAAAATCAAGCGGCACTCGTCGCTGTTAATCACAGGTTCTTGGAGAGGAAAAGATAATCCGGTGTACACCGTAACAGTACAGTATTTCACACACAAATATCCTTACCGTGCCTCAACACTCGCGCGGTTCCGCCATCTCTCTCTAAACCCCCCTTTTGTTTTTCTACCAATCATCTGTTGGTTATTCCAATCCGAAATGAAATGAATACTTAAAACTAAGACTTATCATAAACTAATACTTATTATTAAAACTAATACTAAATACTTAATTTTATATTTAACCCTCTTCGAGTTAATAATAAAACTAGCAATTATTTTACGAACTAGTTTTTTTTTTGTATTTAATTTTTCGTTACAATATATAAAGGAATAACTTACACAGTGCTGGGGTGGACTTCTAAGAATTCAAGAAATTGGTTAGAGTATAATTGTTATTTCCTTTATGAAACTATGATTGTTAAATAATGCATTTAAACAGTTCCAACTACTTCAACACTTACCAGACAAACGCTATAAACTACCAACTAATTACATGAGACTCATATACATGACTGCAATTAGGCCTCTTTGGACATACGGGGTTGAGCTTTGGGGCTCCACTAAGACATCGATCCTCTCGTATCCAATCCATACAATTCGAAATCCTTCGTAAAATCCTCAATGCTCCTCACATTGTCATTAATAAAATCTACCATAACGACCATAATGTTCCTTATGTGTCCAATTTGGCCAAATCTAGGTGCATATCCTTCCATAATATACATCTGAACCATCGCAAACCTCTTGTTTCTTACTTTGCTCTTACTCTTCGATTTCTAATAAACCTCCGAGGATTCTGAGAACATGATGGCCTCCGAAACTTCTTATATAAAACAATAATTGCAGTACTACCAATTGGTAGTTTCTCTGCATGTTGCACATGTCACATTATCAATTCCAATTTACTTTTTGTATTTTTTAACTGATTCAGTTGTAAATTTCAATAAATATATGAAATTGAAAAAAGTGATGTATTTAAAAAAATTAATATTTATTTTTAAAATTTTATTTTACCTTGTTGCGAACTTAGACAAAGTAATACATAATAATGTAAGTATAGAAATATTGAACCCTTTAAAATTTTATTTTGCCATTTTAATGATTATAGAATATTTTCCGATTGTTTTTTAAAAATAAATGCACTTTTATATATATTTTATAAAGTCATTTCTTACCTAAATAAACTTATTTTGCTTCTCCACCTCTTAACTTAAAAAATAAAATAATGAAAAACGGTTTTAAAATATATAGTAAGAATTTTCATAGAGAAAGTGTACGAGGATTTACAAAGTTTTAGATACGAGAACAGTATGACAAAGTGATAATTTTTCAATATCATGTATTATATATATTATTAGTTGATCGTAAAAGTTTATAATGCAACTAATCAATTTAAAAGTAATTAAAAATTTTTTGAATATGGTAAAAATCTATTTATCTGTCTGAGTGGTTTTACAAATCCCGAAAAAGAGTTTTAAAAAACAAATTCTGCCAATGTTTAAAAATACTTTATACTTTTAAATGATGGTTTAGTTTTAACCATAATTTGCTCGAAACTTAGTTTTAATCTATCTTTATTTTTGGAATCTCAAATAGTGTACCATTTTTTTTAGTTTTATTAAAAAAGGCCTAAGGCATCTTTGAATTTTTGAAACTAAGATTTAAAAGAATTAAAGGAAATGGCGGACAGAACGAACGTTTTTCTTTCATTTTGTTGTCTACTACAAAAGTTGATTAGTTGATTTCTAAAGTAAATCCTGCTGATCATTGAAAAATTAAAAAATAAATTAAGAAATTCTTTATAAGTAAATGATATTTCTGAAACCATTTATTATTGTAAAAGTTGAAAAGATCTATCTTTGAAACGAAATAAACTTCAATAAGGGTTCGGTCTGGAGAAGAAAAATGGTGTATGATTCAGTGAGAAAAAAGTTGTTAAAACTATACCGTCAAAATTTTAATTTTTGTTTACAATAATGGTATAATAGTTAAAAAAGCATTCGATAAATTAATTTTTATTAAATTATAAGAAATCCAGGTATCATTACATTCCTTTAAAAATATGACGGTTTTGGAAATAAATTGATTTTCATGCTCTTTTTCTAATATTTAAGTTTATTTTTTAAAACAAGAATAATCGGACCATGGAATTCATTGAGTGTTTTACATCTATACTTAATCGATATCGAAAGAAAAATTATTAAGATGCGAATCAGTTGGCGATATGGCCACCATATCGAATAGTTTTATTAGCTGATAGCTGTTTTAATGTTGTACATTCTCTCTTCTTTTTATATTTATTGTTTTATTTTATGAATCAGTGAATGCACTCATGTCATTTATTTATCAAATTCAATAAAGACTCAATAATAATTAAATATAAGTCATAATATTTAATAGTTGTTTAATTATTAATAGTTAAATGTGGTAAACTCACCCATATTAATATTTGCCCATGTGGAACCTTTATATTACCACCACTAACTTTTGGCCAATATTCCGAAGAAAGTGAATTAATTGTGCTGCTCTCTCTTCCCCTATCGATATTTTATTATTATTATCATTATTAGAAAACTAGTCAAGATTTCCTCTGTAATGTATAAAGGAATCAGATACCTTTCAGTTGATAGTTCGATTTCACTTTCCGAAGAACTAGTAGGATCTATTTCCAAAGGAGTATAATTCAATTCTGAAATATCTTCTAATATCGAAAATGTATTCGATTCCGTTGTAATATATGGCAAAGTGCTTTCAGAATATGTATTAGTATGAAATTCTGGCGATGGTGAAGTTCTCTCTACCTCTGAAACCGAACACAAATTTTTTTAACCAGCTAAAATGCATTTCAATGATATTGGTTAAATGATTTCTCACCTGTGCGGGATTTTTGTGTAAAAACAGGTAAAACTGTCGTGTGAATTATTTTTTTAGTAGGCAATTCTGGCGATGGTGAAGTTCTCTCTACCTCTGAAACCGAACACAAATTTTTTTTAACCAGTTAAAATGCATTTCAATGATATTGGTTAAATGATTTCTCACCTGTGCGGGATTTTTGTGTAAAAACAGGTAAAACTGTCGTGTGAATTATTTTTTTAGTAGGCAATTCTGGCGATGGTGAAGTTCTCTCTACATCTGAAACCGAACACAAATTTTTTTAACCAGCTAAAATGCATTTCAATGATATTGGTTAAATGATTTCTCACCTGTTCGGGATTTTAGTGTAAAAACTGGTAAAACTGTCGTGTGAATTATTTTTTTAGTAGGCAATATGGTCTTAAAAAGCTGAAAGGTCCAGCGGTGTGCCCGTATTCTAGGGACTGTGTATCCCGTAATTATGGTATATCTTCTAAATTTAGGAATAACGAATGGCAAAGGCGTAGAACTCATTTCAAGAATATCTTTAGCATGTGAAAACAGGTATGACTTTGTAGTGAAACAATTACAAGATTTAAAAGGTTTCTGAAGTTTCAGATTATTAGTAGATTCCATATTGAAAGAAGTAATATTCGTTTCAAAGGGATCTTTATGGATGAGTTTCGAAAAAGTGCTCGATCTGAACAGAAATTTGTCGCTTGGTGAAGTATCCTGTTTGTCTGAAAAAGAATGAAATCTTTTAGTCGTAATTAAAGTGAACATTAAAAATATACATAAAATAATCTATTACTTGAAAGTGATATACAATCCAAATCTGCTGAAACCGTCGTGGACATAGTTCCTTCATTGGGCAATATGGTCTGGAGAGAACTGATGGAGCTGTGAGGTGGACTTCCTCTGCAGACAGTTGATATCATGATTCGGCGATATTCTGGCAACTTTCTTAATTCAGGTAGACTGGTTTCTAAAAGAAATTCAGATTGAGGAGTCGTGGTATTGGTTAAAAAAGAAGGAAGACTGTCTCGTGTGGATGATTCCGGTATTGAACTATCAGTCAACTCGGATGCCTGAGAATTTGAATACGTTCCGGTTGTTAATTCGGGATCCAAGGCAATATCGTAATCACCTGGAATGAAACAAATTTCTTATATAGATACGGTAGAAAATGGGAACATTGAAGGGATATTTAAAGCGATATCTTACCTGGAAATATTTTTTCTATAAGAAAATCCGGCGTAGTCTTAGAAGAATTTATGGAACTACAAGGTATAGGTGATCTTGAAACACTTAATCTTGTATTCCGTTGCAATATATGCAATTTTCTTAATATAGGTAAATGGCTTGTTAATGGTGATTCAAGTTGAGAATTAGTTGACGAAGATGCCAACGAATACAAACTTTTAGTGGTTAATTCTGGATTCATTGAAACATCCGAACGCAGATTTTTTATAGTCGAAGAGTTCAACTTGATTGGACCTGTTTTTTCAGTTAGATTAATATGGGAAAGTTCGTTCCAGGGTGTGAAATCTCTAGGATCGAGTACTTGCCAGCGGGGCCAAACTGCTTCTTCATCGCTTATCAAATCTATTGCTGGGGTGAGGTCTGGTTCATTTTTTATATTCCTTTGTCTTAAGCCAAGACCATTTAGTTCATTGATTCTTTTTTCCCACGTTCGCCAATTGAGTATTTCTGTCGAAGTTAGTTTTTGTTCTGTGTTGGGAAAAATCATTGTAAACAGAAGTTCGTCACTCACTGAATCGGTTGCTAGCTGCTGATCTATTTCCCGTTCGATCGATTCAAAATTGTATGGTGTGAGTTTCTCTGCTGGAAGTGGGAGTGTAACCTGCTCAGTAACCATATTTATGTATTTGTTTTCTGTTGTTGGCAGTTTTGGGTAAGTGTTTGTTGTGAACTGATTATCATAACCAGGGTATGGGGTGTGTTGGACACCTAACACCATTATTTGTTTATCTTTATCACCGCTGTCTTTTATTGGTGCAATGTCTTGGGAAGTACAATAACCCATATTACTCAACGTTGAAACAGTCGATTTCTCATCTACTATGTTGTTTTTGCTGAACTAGAACATATGTATTATGAAAAATATTCATAGTATAATGTGTAACATTAAGAATATATAAAAATTTACATATAAGTTTGTTTATATATATATCTGAAGTACTGCTGAAATGTAAATCGATATGCATCATAAAAAAAAAATATATATATGTATATATGCCCATCCAGAAAACATTTTAGTTAATATTGTTTATTAATTCGTGATTGAAACTTATTATAAGTTACTCTTGGGGAAAACAGCTTGTAAGGCTGTTATTAAATAATAGGGCGATTATTTAAGTTAATCGCTAAATTCAACACATCTGACGTAATTAGGTATTTAGGTTTTCACCTGGACAAACGACATACTTGGAGGACTCACATCAGACAAAAACGAATAGAATTAAACAGACGATACGGTCTTTTATCCAGATTACTTGACAGACGTTCAAAATTATCTTTAACTAACAAACTAACCCTTTATAAAGTTTTACTTAAACCAATTTGGACTTACGGCATAGAACTGTGGGGTTCTGCTAAAACTTCCAACATTAAAAAAGTTCAGTCCTTTCAGTCAAAAGTGTTGCGAAGGATAGTTGACGCACCGTTTTATGTCACAAATGATACACTACATAAAGACTTAAACGTACCTACAATTTTAGATACTGCAAAAGAGAACTACAATAACATTCATCAAAGACTGACGTACAACATGAATCCCCTGACAGAAATTCTTCATCGTACAAGAAACCCGTACAGCCCACTACGACGATTACGTAGGCGTTGGCCAAGAGACTTGCTGATTTGATTTATATTCCGGACGTGATGGGAAGCTGTGAAGCTGCCAAAATATTTGCTGATTGCAAAGAAATTTGCAGATTGCAAATTTAATATAAAGTTATACATTTTTGTTAATAATAAATAGATAAAAATAACTTCAACACATAAAATTTTTAAATATTTTTTTGTTAAAAGTTGTAGTGGATTGTCTGAGGTTTTGAGAATGATTTCGTCTTTTTATGTATTACTGGTTTCAGTAAGGGGTGCGAAAACAGATGAAAGATGGTCAGTGAAGATTTCACTATTTCTTCGTTCGTCAAACTTCCAACAACCGTCTTCTTTCATAACAGGCGCTGACACCGTGCGATGCTTTAAGATAATTTTTCTGTGCCTTCACAAGCTTCTATCGTCAGTTGCTATGTTTTCAATACAAGATTTATAATTGATCTGGTTAAGTTTTTGTATTTGTATTTTATTTCTTTATTATGTTTCTTAAATATTCGTCTATACGACTGGCGAACATTTTTCTGCCAATTTTTTCGGGCTCTTCTAATTTCTCTGATCAGATCTCTTATATGTTGTGGGTAACAAGGTAGGTTTACTCACTCTCTGATGATGGGTTCTGGTAAAGACCAATCAGAATGCTCTATATGTTTAGTGAATATATATCAGGCTGTTATTAAGATAAAAAAAATATATATATATTAGGTGTCGAATTTAACGATAAACGGAAATAATTCCGATCGATTTTTATGATCCCAACAAGAAAATATTTAACAATGCTCATGTTCATTCAGCTTCATCTAAAAGAATACCTTTATAATGTCTAACCTAAAAAAACCTAAGTCAGTTAGGATTTTTGAAAATTTATGAGGCCTTCTTTTTCTGCTTTAACTTATTTCTAAAACATTGGTTCTTATAGACTTATGTTCCCTACATTTGTCATTACAAGCTGTTTTCCCCAAGAGTAACTTTATAATAAGGTTCAATCACGAATTATCAAACAATATTCACTGCAATTTTTTCTGGATGGATTTTCTTTTTTCTTTTTTTTTTTTTTGCAGATAAATTGTCTCCAGACGTATAGACGAATATTTAACAAAACTCAATAGAGAAACAAAAATACAAATACAAAAACTTAACCAGATCAATTATGAATCTTGTATTGAAAACATAGCAACTGACAATCGAAGCTTTGTTAGGAAAGAAGACGGTTCTGAGGGGAATGACGAACGAAGAAAATCTGAACTCTTCGCTGACCATCTTTCTTATCTGTTTTCGCGCCCCTCCTCCCTCGCCATCCCTCCTATTGAAACCGCTAATACATAAAATAACGAAATCGTTCTCAAAACCTCAGACAATCCACTACAATTTAAAAAAAAAATTTAAAACACATTAGGTGTCGAATTTAACGATTTAACAATGCTCATGTTCATTCAGCTTCACCCAAAAGCATACCTTGACAATATATAAGTCAGTGAGGTTTATTTTTTTTTAATTTATCAGGGTTTCTTTGCTTTAACTTATATCTAAGGCATTGATTCTTATAGACTTATGTTCACTCCATCTGTCCCTACAAGCTGTTTTCTCCAAGAGCAACTTATAAGGTTCAATCACGAATTAGTAACCAATATTAACTACAATTTATTTTTTTTTTTTGTTAGCTGATGTTATATTTTAATGTTGTATTTATAAATATTAGATACTTTACCTCAGTTTGATTGGATAATGGCTCATACAAATCGTCAGTTTGGTACCAATCGAAATCTTCATAATGTTCTTCGTCAGCGTTTTGTAGAGACGTATATTCGTAATCTGCCATAAGTGGTTTAAATTTTTTTAAGCTTTTTATATCTAATTCCTTAGATGGATGGTTTGCAATTATCTCAGATATTTTAGGGTTTACAAATACGCTCTTTCCGGAATCGTAGTACGGCACAATTTCTGAATCGAATAGATATCTTGATCTGTTAAGTTTACTTCTCATTGCCTCTGAAATATTATACTTGAACGTCATCAACCCGTTTTGAGCTGAATCGGTTATAACTTCCAAGATATTCCTTGTAGTTATTTGTTTTTGTATATTTTTCTTCTTAACATTGGTTCCATTCGTTGATATAGGTTGATCTGAATGTGATGTGAATATTTGAAATTTTTCATATAGTTTAGTGAAACTGGACGTATGTTCCTGAAGATATTAAAAAAAACATATATATAATATTAGTCTTTTTATGAAGGACTCTTTGTTGACAAAGAAATTAACGGAGTATTTACTAATTTTAGGATGGAAGATGGGGTTGATCTTAATGTTTCAGTTTCGATAAACTTTGATAGTTACATAGTTATTCATTTTTATTTATTTATTTATTTATTAGTTATACATATTCCTGGCTCACAATAAATTTGCCATCTACATCGGTATTCAGCAAATATGATATCAAGGACAAGAAATGATAGCATAAGAAAAAAATAATAGTAATAACAAAACAAAAAGACAAAAAAAAAAAGAACAAAAAAAAAAAGAACAGTAGTAAAATAACACATACATATTAACAGAATAACACACACAAACAAAAAAAAGTTAATGCAGCAATTAGCTCAATGCAATTTATTTATAAGAAAGGAATTTAATGTTTTATAAATTCCACTTAGAATGCTTTATACATTTATAAAGAAAAAAAAAATATGTCATATACCATTGGTCTCTTAGAGAAACCAGGTATGTTTAAAATACTTAAGAAAGTGTTTTTTTATGGTTGACTAATGATTGACATGACTACAATAAGACCTATTTAGACTTTCGGAGTTGAGGTTTGGGGATCTAAAAAACCATCGAATTCCTCAGTCATCCCATCCTTACAATCAAAATTCCCTCGTAAAATCTCCTTACTTTGCCACTAATAAAATTATCCAAAACGACCTTAATGTTTCTTATGTTTCCGATTTGGCGCAATCCAGATACCTATCCTTCCATAATAAACTTCAGAACCATCCGAACCATCTCGTTTCTAACCTTGCTTCCTCTTTGATCCCTGACAACCCTGATGTCGATCCCCTATTGTGAATACATTTTTTTTTTCATAATACAGTTGTAAATATCATAAATGAATAATGAAAAAAAAAAGTACTGCACAACATCCAATTTATGTATGTATTTTTTTTCCTATTCCACAGTAGTTACTGTATTAAAACCTCAGAACATAGTTGTATGGACGCTAGAGGTGGAGGAGTATAAGTAAATTTACTAAGAAATATAGAAATAAGTTCACGGCTGATTTGGAGATTTGTGAACTTAATAGTTTTTTGAGAAAAAATAGTGATTTGTCTACCTAGTGATGCGTGATACTGTAGGATTACTTAACTTCTAAGTAAAGATTACACTGTGCTTTATAAATGCCAGCAATAGTTGGTATGATTTTATTCGAATAATGAATAAATAACTACGAATGAAAAATTATATTTATTTAAATCTTTTAAATGTATAAGGATAAATGTATTGAATGTTGATTGAAAAAAATGGAATAATTTTACTGTGTCCAATATAGGCTATGTATTTATTTATTTTTTTATTTATGAAAATTCAACTATATTTATTGAGAGATATTGCAATCTTTCACAAATAAGGACATTTATAACAGTGTTCAGAGAACACATTCACGCTCTATCAACAATAAATAATACAGAGAAAACAATTATACTAAAAGTAAATGTATATAAACTAAATATAACAAAAATAAACTAAACTAATAAAAACAAGTACTCACATACACACACGCTTCTGTACAATATCTAAAATAAATATAAAAAATCATTCACCCAAGATCTCCGAGCAAATCCTTTCTTCCCACTCGAGGAAGGAAAGGCAGGACTCTAGAAGATCCCAGCGCCTCTAAATCAGCCGAATTACTGGTATTAAGGACCAGTAGAGGCTGATCAGAGGCGCTATAATCACACATTTATTAATGAAAATTGATTACATCCCTGGGAAATTTCGAATCTATGTTTACAATGTATGTATACGTTTCAAGGTTGCTCGGAACCAAATAACCAAGTCAATGAAAACGATATAATAATAATAATAATAATAAGGCTTAGCGAACCCGAAGGTTCGATGCCGACACCACCAATCGCTTGTTACACACCTCCCTCCACCGTTCGCCGTCCAAACCCAGTCCCTTCAGATCGGCTTTAATGCAATCTTCCCACCTTCGCTTCGGTCTACCCCTCGGACGCTTACCATTCGGCACAGCAAATATTAACCTTTTAGGAATTCTCTCGTTACTAAGCCCAACAACTTTACAAGCCCATTTGATTCGCCGCGATGAAATTACATCAATTATATTACCCGGATACAGCTCACGCAATTCGGCGTTGTGTAACCGTCTGAACTCTCCGGTTAACTCATCCTTCTTCGGTCCGAATATTCTACGCAATACTTTATTTTCAAAAACCTTAAGACGCTGCTCATCCCTTAATGTAAGCGGCCAAGTTTCGCATCCATAAAGAACTGTAGGCAAGATAATTGTTTTATAGATTCTAATTTTTAAGTTCCGGGACAAGAGGCGCGAACTAAGTAGTTTTGTCACAGAAAAATAACAAGCATTCCCCGCCTTCAGTCTAATCTTAATCTCTTCTTCAATTTCGTTTTTTCTAGTTATCGTAGAACCTAGATACCTAAATTTATCTACCTGTTCAAACATATTACCATCTATATCGATATCACCAGTAGTATCGCCATTTTTGCAGCTAACCATATATTTTGTTTTATCCACGTTTATTTCGAGTCCTAGTTCTTTACCGGCTTTCATTAACGTTGTCGTATTTAGTTTTATAGTTTCAACGTCTTCGCTTAACAGTACCAGATCATCAGCATAGCCCAGCACGGATGTTGTCCCGCCCAGATCCAACCCTTTCTCGGTTCGCATTACCTCCCTAATGGCATGTTCTAATGCCAAATTGAACAGGACAGGCGAAAGAGAATCCCCCTGTTTTAAGCCCGAACGAACCTCAAATTTTTCGGACAAATAATTACCGATTCTAACTTTATTGAGTGTCTCCGTCAAGCACATCCTGACTAGATTTACTAGTTTTTTTGGAATCCCCTGCTCGATTAGAATATTATACAGTTTCTGGCGGTCAATAGAATCGTAAGCCTTTTTAAAATCTATATACAGCTGGTGAACAATACCGTTATACTCCAATTTTTTCTCTAATATTTGCCGTAAAGAAAATATTTGATCAATAGTCGAACGATTCCGTCTAAATCCGCATTGGTAGTCTCCGATAATTTCCTCGGCGTATTCCGTGATTCGACTGGTTAAGATTAAAGTGAATATTTTATAACATACCGGAAGGAGTGAAATTCCTCGATAGTTATTACGATCCGTCCTCGGACCCTTTTTGTGAATCGGAATAAGAATAGATTCTTTCCATTCTTCAGGTAATTTCTCGTTCACCCAGATCTTTTTAACCAACCGATGTATTTTAGAAACTCCAGCTTCCCCGCATGCCTTAATTAGTTCAGTAGGAATATTATCGATTCCCGCTGCTTTATATGATTTTAATTTTCCGATAGCTACTTCAACTTCCTCTTTACTTGGTCCTTCTATTAACGGTTCAGCACTCTGGTACTCAGAAGGAGGACACAGATCATAATTTCCCGTATTTAATATATTGTCAAAGTGGTCCTTAAACTTATTCAATATGTCAACCGGATCGGTCAGAATATTGTTATTATCATCCCTAATTCCAGACGTTACGGGCCCTACATATTTACGTGATCTGTTTATACCTTTGTACATGTCTCTTACGTTATTTTCGATTCTATTAGTTTCTATTTCAATTATTTTATTTTTAAGATACTCCCTTTTTTTATTTTTGAGCAATTTTGTCGTTTCGTTCTTTGAGATTCGGAAGTATTCCAGATTGTCTTCGCTAGGATTATTTAGAGCTTTTAATTTAGCGGCTTTTCTTTTTTCACACATGTTTAAGCAATGTTCATCAAACCACGGTTTGTTATTCTTATTTTCCTTTTTTCCTAGACACGAGTTACCGACCGCTTTAATATTATCTCTGATCTCTATCCATAACTTGTCAATATCCTCGTGGTCCTCGTCAGGAAGCTCTAAAGCTTCAAACCTATTCCTAACATCTAGCTCGAATTGGTTTCTAATTGATGGATTTTTTAATTTTTCCAAATTAAAATTCTCAAAATCGAAATGGTTTTCTTTTCTCTTTTTTATATTAAGTTTTTGTCGAAGTTTCGCGATTACTAATTCATGATCCGACCCACATTCTGCTCCGCGATAAGACCGTACATTAATTATACTGCTTTGCCAGCTGTGTTGTATCAAGACATGATCGATTTGATTTCGTGTTTGCAAATCCGGTGATGTCCAAGTATATTTATGAATATCCTTATGTTTAAACGTCGTACTTTTAATTATCAGGTTTTTCGAGATGGCAAAGTTTATCAGACGGATCCCATTATCATTACTATATTCGTGTACACTTTCTTTACCAATCGTCGGAATATAAACTTCTTCCCTTCCTACCTTTGCGTTCGCGTCACCTACAATTATTTTCATGTAGTTTCGCGGTAGTTTATCATAAACCCATTCGAGTTTATCGTAAAATTCACTTTTGACTGAAAACGATATATATATATATATATATATATATATATATATATATATATATATATATATATGTATGTATGTATGTATGTCTAAGTACATGCCTTTGTGTGGCTGTATATATACAGCCATGTACAGGAACGAAAACTGAGCGAAACTAAAATTACCTAATTAAGGTATATATGCCTAGGATGTAACAGAAACTTTTCTCTTACAATCTGCTGACCAAAAGTGCCAGTTTATTTCATCAATTTTATACATTTTTACAATATTATCATTTTACCTATACCGCATGGCACAATTTCTAGTAACTATCCCGATTACGTAGTTAAATTTCAGCTCACGCCAGACTGATTGATATTGAATTATTTTAAATTTATGATCGAATCAAAGTTATTAAAGCAATGAAAGGTTATAATCTGGTTGTACCACATGTTCTTAATGTGGAGTCCTAATACAATAAGTATTTCTAGCCTTCAAAGTTCGAAATGGCTTACGGCAGGAAGATGAATTAGCACCGATGTAGACGGACTTAGATCTGGAGAAGGTGACGAAAAAACCTTAACAAAAAAATGGAGAGGTCAATGTCGAAATGAATCATAGCTGTACTTGGAATTAATCCAGAAGACATTGAGAAACTTGCTAAGACTCCGAGAAGAGAAGAAGAACACATCTGCCTACAAGTAAATGGAAACAAAACAAAATACATGATAATTAACTGAAAATTCCATCACAAAAACAGTATTTGCCTAAAAAGAAAATACCTCAACACCAATATTCAAACGCCTCGTATCCACAATGACTCAATGAATGACAAACGGTCTGAAATATACCAGGATACAATAAGCGCAAACAGAGCTTTCTTTCCTCTTTCGAAGGTATTGGAATCATGACAAACCTCCACAAATCTCAAATTAAGGGTGTACAATGCTATGACAAAGCCAGTTCTATTATATGGCTGCGAGACCTGAACACTAACCAGCATCCGAGAAAAAGCATTGAAAGATTTGAGATAAAAATCCTGCGAAGGATGACTACTACAGCGATATGGGATCAGTGTACTAACACATGGAGAAGAAAAACCAATTAAGAGTAGTCATTCAATACCTCAAGATAGGAATGAACAGAGGTTAGGATGGGCGGAGAATATAGCTTTGAGCAAACTATCTTTTAGCCTCTACACGATAATGAATGCCTCAATAGAAGAAAAAAAGATCTGAAAAGTCCGTAATAGAAAAATAATAATAATAGTACATGTATATATATATATATATATATATATATATATATTTTTTTTTTCCGGTTGGCGCTACAGAACATGGAAGATCTTTGTCCGCTAGATGTGGTCTCCTAGACCACATCCTAATTCTCTATTTAAATACACGGGAGTAGGTTGATCAGTCCTACACCCAGTCGGTGTGACTTGCATGCAGTAGGCTGACGGGTCTCACATATCCGGGGATATATCAGGCAGGGTGGCTTTCATAAAGCATATGTATATATATATGTGTGTGTGTGTGTGTGTGTGTGTTTGTGTTTGTTTGTGTGTGTGTGTGTGTGTGTGTGTGTGTGTGTGTTTGTGTGTGTGTGTGTGTGTGTGTGTGTGTGTGTGTGTGTGTGTGTGTGTGTGTGTGTGTGTGTGTGTGTGTGTGTGTATCTATTTTCCAATCAATAGTACAGCTTGAAATGGCTTGTACTTGTATTACCAAAATGGCAATAAAATATTTTTTAATGAATTGCAAAACGATTCGGTGCATTGCATATGTTTGGTTAACTAAGCTTATAAATAATTTTGTAAGCTTCCATTTAGTTTAAAATTTTTAATCAGTAGTTGTTAAATAATATTAGTTTTCAAAAATTATAAATTTATAAGGCAACAGCTTAAGGCAAGGAGATGGACTACGGAGGAGATGGATCACCGATGTTGTTCAACTTAGCCCTGGAGAAGATCAGAAGAGCAACGTTATCTGAAAATACAAGAGGTCCATATCGGAATAAATCATAAAATCCATGGACACGCAGATTGTATAGCTGTCCTTAGAACTAATCAAGTAGACATTGAGAAACTCGTTACAACACTGATGAGATAGGCCTACAAGTAAATGAAAGCAAAACAAAATATATGTCAATAAGCCTAAAATTCCACCCCCATAACAGAATCTGCGTAAAATCAAAATCATTACCGAGAGTAGAAAAATTCAAATACCTCGGCTCCACAATAATCTCAATGAATGACCAACAGGCCGAAATAGACCAGCGTATTAGCGCAAACAGAGCTTTCTTCACCCACTCAAAGGTATTGAAACACTGAAAAGTCTTAAATTAAGGGTCTACAAGGCCATGATAATGAGAATTCTAATATATAGATGTGATACCTGGACACTAACTTGCACCCTGGAAAAACAGTGTTGAAAGACAAATCCTGCGCACGATAACCGGAGCCATGTGGGATCAGAGTACTCACACATGGAGAAGAAAGACCAATAAAGAACTGCTTACAGAAACTGGTCAATCAGTATCCAATGATATGAAGGAACGGAGGTTAAGATGGGCAGGTTAATTCACGTTGGTCGTAGCAATCCATCTCAATGGAAGGCAAAAGATCTAACGAAAGACCAAAAATCAGATGATAGATAGAATCAACAAAGATGCATCAGAGCTGCGTGCAGATATATGTTAAGAAATAGCCCAAGACAGGGAGTGATAGAGCAGACTTGGTAAGGTGGCAAAAGATGTAAATGGTCTGTAACATCAACAGAAAAAAAAAAAAAAGATATATATATATATATATATATATATATATATATTGAAAATATATTTGTATGGTAATATAATCTTATCATTCTTTATTCTAAGGAGAAATTTTTTTTTTTTTTTTAGAAATAGAACTAAAATTATACACAGATTTGGGTTGCAACCTGACGTTTTCAAAAGTATCTTAGAACAAAATGATGATGTAGTGAGCTCCTACTTTTTTTTACTATCACTAACAATGAAAAAATTGTAATTATTTTGAATAAACCATATTAAAGATAGTTCGGTGGAAGCCACATTGAAAACTCAGGATTTAAACCGTATCAGACCATTTTCATAATTATGAGATCTATGTGATATTTAAAAAACCTATGTAATGTATCTTTAAGAAAAAAAATGAATTGAGCCATTTAGAAGTCGTGAAATCGATTATATAAAGTGGCACTTCCGTTGTGGCGATTAAAGTGAAATGACATCTATAAAGGTGCGCTTAGACATTTCACAAACTACGGGAAAAACAAATATCTAACTGAACTAACAGCGAGATTAACTCTAAGCCTAACTTTTTTTTATTTCCACCGTTACCGATAGTAGATACAAAACATAAAAAAACAAGAAAAAAACACTAGCATAGGAGAAAGATCATTTAAATATTTGTATTTTCCACAGTTTGTGAAATGCTTAAATCTTAAAGATTACAATCATATAAATATTTTAAATGCATCATTCTCTAGATAAGTAGTACTTTTAGTTTTCTAGTTGAGATACACAGGATTTTGTGATGCTTAGTTATTTTGACTGTGAATAATTTAAAACGCCAATACTCACTCTCATAGGAATTTCATAATAAGTGAGAGAAGAAATAAAATATTTCATGAAAGTAGACGACTTTTTTTTTTATTGTAGCTTAAAATATCATAAAAATACCTGCAAATCATATGTGAGCTATCATATTTTAGGGTAGTACAAATTTCTTACGTGGGTAGACATTTCATCTCGTACCGGATTTTCTAAATTATTAATGAGCGTTTGTTGTCTGTTGGCGATGGTTGTCTGGGAGTCTTTGTAAGAGTTTGATATCTTCTTTAAATTGCTCGGTAGCGTTCGATCCGAATCTGTTTTGCTGTTCGGGATTCCGTAAGATCTTTTATTCATGATTTTTCTCACAAAATGATCATGTCTCGTGTCACCTAGCCTAGAAAGCTTCGACCACGTTCTATTTTTCATTAGGGGCAGAAAAGATTTTTTTTCGGCCCTCGATATTGATCCAACGTTACTCTTGAATGATCCATGCTTGACAAAGCTTTTCGATGCAACTGATTTTAAAAACAATTTCGGTGGCGTGGTATGAATCCAGCGGTCCCTTTTTCGTTTTCCCGAAGAATTAATCGGAACACGAGGCTTCATTTTTAATACCAGTTCGACATTTTCTTGAGATCTTGAGCTCTCATTAAAAAATAATGGTACTGCAGGATGCGTTTTAACAGGTTTTACAAAGTCATCCTCATTACTCCTTGCTGGAATTGAGTACGAACTATTATTTTCCCGTTGAAATTCAAAAACTGTATTATTCAATGTCATGCCCCGGGGTTTTCCGACGACCACTATTGCTTTTGTACACACCAATGAAAATAAGAACCAAATTAATGACATATCAACTACCAACCTCAAGCAAAAGCATATGATTTAGATTTTTTTAATTGCGAAATGCAAACTTTTAATATTTATGTAAATTTGGTCTTACGAATTACATAGGAAACGAAATTGGTAGCCAAGGAAAATTAATTACATTCTTGTGAATTATCAGATCAACTGTAGAGATTTTTTAATTTCACCATTATTATTACATTTTATTTTTACTATTATAACTAAAACAAAACGAGAAAGTATAATCTAATAAGTAGTAATTAAATTATATCAAAATATAAATTAATATTTTTAAAGGAAAGATCCTTCAAATTTTAAAAATCTATGTAAAATAAAAAAGCATTGATGTGCAATTTCAGATACCTTTTGGTACAGATGGTGGTTAATATTATGAGAACTTTTTGCTACAAGGTTGTAATCAGATATAATGAAAAAAATATGTAAGATGCAAGAATAGCTAATTGTAATTAAATAAAAGCTTATTATAGCACCTCCAAAATTATGAATTGTCAGAATCTGTCATGAAACTATTCGTAATCCATTAAAAAATTATTTTTGAAAATTCATTCAGTATTAACCTGATCCTGATTCAAGAAATAAATCATTAAAAAAAATTTAAAATTTTTAAATCTTTATGTACTGACAATGTACCCATCATCTTTAGTATTTTAAAGATGAGAAAAGAACAGACAGTCGGACAAAACTTAAAATAAAGATTTTAGTTTATTTTATAATTTCAAGTATATGATTCAACTATTTAATTGAAACCATGTGTTTATCTTAATACAAATGAAATTTATTTATAATAATAACAGCTGGAATTTATTACAGTCATGTTACAATAAAAGAAATGTATCCATTGTTGAAGAATTACAAGAGAATTTTTTGAATTATATTCCAACGTTCTTTGGATGTTATACGATTGCTAGTAACTGAATGCAAATGTGAAGAAGGGTTGGATTTGATTTAAGTTAAAAAAAAAAATAGCTTAGTAAAGGAACGGGTGAATTTATTCCACGGATGGAAAGGTATGATGACTTCTGTAATCAGGCAAGATGAATATGTAGAAAGAAATGTTTTTTGTTTTTATCTTGCACTACAACATCGAAGTACATTATACACCTTCAAGATTCCTTTTTATACATATGGAAGATTGCAGCTTCAAGTGAACTCAACTGTTTAATGTAAGCAACGATCTATATTTCTTGAGCAAGTCAATGTAGTAACCTTAATTTTAAAAAATCCCATACACGCGTCTTCATGCCGTAGAGAGAATATTTAAATAGAAAAAAAAGTGAAAGAAAAAGAAAATGATAGGCTATAGATAAATATCTATAATGCATGCAAAGCAATGCTTAATTATTAATAGTATACATAACATTCGCATTAAATCGCAAGGTTCAGACTAACAGGAAAATCGGAATGTTAGAGTCATGTTCAAGAACATTAGGAAAGTTGGCTTCATCGATATAAGGTCAATTCAGTTATATGTCGTTTTTAGACTATCATTGTACAAAAAAAAACCTTTCTTTAATTTTAACAAATACCTTGAGATTACATGTGATATAATGCTTATTATAAGACCTGAACTTATGATCAACTTTAATTCAATAAATAAATTATTATCACATAGAAAAATAAATTATTGTATATAATGAAAATTTATTTTTATAATTACAGCAAAGATACTGCAGAAAATCATAAATGACGTAGTAAAATACCTATACAAAATAAGCCGATGATCTGGTTTAGATTCAACTAAATTACCATTATACAATGGATCTAATTGTGTTTACCTAAAAATAAATTGTTTTCAACAAACCGTTACGTACTCACAAAAATATAGTAAAAAACAAGGTTTAAAATGTTGAAATAATAAGATATAACATTTTCGTATGAACTATTTTTTTGGCTAAAGGGGGTCTTAACGTATGTATCGAGAATCAGTATATTCATATTTTATTTTTCTTATTTGAAGCAATAAGTAATTCATTTGTTTTTGGATTGTCTGTGTGTTTTCAATTTTTTTTTTAAATATTTTGGAATTCCTTTTTTTTTGCTTGTGGATAGGGCCCCGTGCTACAGCTGTTAAAATTTTAGAATAAATTTAAATTAATTATCTACTAATGATAATATAACAAATGTTTCGCGTATAATTAATTTAATGATCAAACTTTTGATTCAATTTAAATGAGTTTATTTAGTTTGCCATGAAGAAATGTCGCGTATCAAATTTATTTATTTGTATCATTGGATATATGACTTGTTTTCCCTTTTACTTACTTTTGAACCTGAGTTTTCAACGGACGTGTATCTTTTGTGGTCTCCTGAGTCCAAATAACTAAATCCCACAAAATGGTTTGTGTCAGTGTGTGTGAGTAGTCTAGCTCAAAAGCGAATAGTCGCAAGAAACTGAAAATACATTTTTAAGTTAGGCCTGGGATGTTATAAATACCTGGGATATTACAGAAACGTTTAACACACGTTTACAATTTTCAATTCAATGATTAAATTCGGTATATTAATGTATAATTAAGAGGTATTCATTACCATTTTGGTCTTATCACGTATAATGACAGCGAATAGGGCTTAAATGCACAATATTCAAAATTTCTTCCTCTAAAGTATCTTTACTTTGGTTTATTTTAAATAATTAACTATCTCTCATTGTTAGCAGTTATGAATAAGGGCTAAATATAAACTTTGAAGGGATTTGATGATTAAATAAAGGAGAAAAGTGGAAAAAATGTATATTTAGATCGGAAATGAATCTTCGAAATTAATAATCAGAAGGCATAAGCACTAATATATCATTAGAAAACGGAGAATTTTATAAAAAAAAAATGTCTAATATAGAAAGTCGTAGAAGCTAATTGAGAGTGACGAAAAAATTATAAATAATAATTTATGAAAACTAATCTTATTTAACGGAAATCACATGTTTCCAAGGAAATTAAATATGAAATTTTCTAACTAAATGTAAACTTTTAAAATTATTTTTGAGTCTTAAAATATATATATAAAATCCATCGAATCAAGGCAATGATACGTTTAATTTCTCTATTTCATTGTACTTGAGTAAATGAAGAAGTGAAATATGAAAATACTAGTAAGCCCGTGCGAAAAATTCGCACAGCATATTGTTATCAAATGCCAGATTAATAAGAAAATAAAATAATGCAACCTATCAAAAGATAAAGAAATCAAATGTTAATATAATCGGCAAAGAAAACAAAAATTAATTTAAAAATCATTTTTGTTTGGAACCAACATGTTTACAAATTTCAGTAAGCTGTATCTTTGCTAAAAATTGTCCGATTACAATGATTTTTTTTTCCTTTTGTAGGGAATTAAGTAATCTTTTATAAAATCATAAACGGGCATAACCGTTTATGATCGTTTCGTTCTCTGTTCTTGGAGATATTCAGGGAGCACGTGATTTGCTAACCTGACGCGATCACATTTCCCCTCTCTTCATCAGGAAATTTCCTGACGGATGGTTGGCGGTCGAAAGATCTTCAATCTTCCAACCATTTTTTTATAAGACAGGGGATTATCAGCCCTATACCCAATCCCCAACCTGGAGGACCTGGATCTCTGGTGCAAGACACAGGGATCTCTCCCCTCCCTATGTATCTCAGGGTGGGGACGTTACCGTCTATTATACCGAAATTAAATATTAATATAAATAATTAAATTAGTGAATAATTTTATGATTTTTTCCTCTGTGAAATCTCAAAATTGTCCACTTGCAATTAGTGTGACAAATTCTGACCTACTCATGGCAGGCAATGAAAATCTTGCAATTTCGTTTCATTAAACTTTATAATAAAAAATAACCTTAACTAATAGTCGTACTTAATTTAATAACTAATAAAAGTTTGTAATTTTTTAGTTATTCGCAAATAAAATTTGTTATCTTTTATAACTGTTTTGACTGAATTTTCGGGATGATTGGACTATTGTGTCCGCCTGAAGGAGATAGAAGCCTTTGAAATTGGTGGCTCAATCTTGAGATTTGGTGAAAAATTGACGATGATATGGCTTGCCGATCAAAAACACATCGATAAATAATATAAACTCCTCCTCTCTCGACCATAGTGACCTCAATCGATATACAGACCTACCACTGTTCAGGTATTGAAGCCTATCATAATGTTCGTATCGACTTTATTTATTTTAGAAAGAAAAATAAAAGTGGAGAATACGATTCGCTAACCCCCGTGAAATTCTGAATCCAACGGTACCCCATTCATGATATTTGAGCATGAAAGGAGCTTATATTTGGTACAAAACCGATTTCGAGCTTTACTGTAATAATATATGTACGGATTTCTAAAACATCTGTTTAAACCTTTAGTACAGTTAGTGTAGTTTAATAAATAACTCAAGATCTGATATTTGTTTTTCTTTTTTTTTGTAGTAATGATCGTTTCGTTCTCTGTTCTTGGAGATATTCAGGGAGCACGTGATTTGCTAACCTGACGCGATCACATTTCCCCTCTCTTCATCAGGAAATTTCCTGACGGATGGTTGGCGGTCGAAAGATCTTCAATCTTCCAACCATTTTTTTATAAGACAGGGGATTATCAGCCCTATACCCAATCCCCAACCTGGAGGACCTGGATCTCTGGTGCAAGACACAGGGATCTCTCCCCTCCCTATGTATCTCAGGGTGGGGACGTTACCGTCTATTATACCGAAATTAAATATTAATATAAATAATTAAATTAGTGAATAATTTTATGATTTTTTCCTCTGTGAAATCTCAAAATCGTCCACTTGCAATTAGTGTGACAAATTCTGACCTACTCATGGCAGGCAATGAAAATCTTGCAATTTCGTTTCATTAAACTTTATAATAAAAAATAACCTTAACTAATAGTCGTACTTAATTTAATAACTAATAATTGTACAATCATTTATAGGTTAAATATACAGATGTACTTTAAAATCTCTCTAGACATATATATCTTAGAGATTAGAGTTATGTGGTTTACAAAAACAGATGTAATAAATAGAGTTATTTATTTTAATGGTGTTAATGATTTGTTAGCTGCGAGCTTTAAGCTGTAGCTCCGTTTAAAATGCACTTAAAACTTTTTATAATAGCCTAACTTTCCCGAAAATTATTTCAATTCAAAGAGGAGCGGTAAGTGGAAGTTGTTTGATGCGTGCATCCGAGTTTTTCTGTGAATTTTTATCTGTTTATGCATATAAACATTTTCCGTCACGCAAAATTAAAATATCAATAATATGTTCATTAATGTACCATTTGGAATTCAATGACCAACTTATTCGGACAGAAAATGCACTTGTATAATTAACAGTGTATCGGTCATCGAATTAATACTTTAATTACTGTTATTATTGTAATAATAATTTTTTTTTGTAACGTACAGAAGGGGAAGGATGGATAAAAATACCGATTGCCAAAAGAATGATGTAGAATCTTTATTTATGTATATGTATGGGCTTAACATTAATGGGTTTAACTTCGCAGATATGAGCATCAATTTAAATAAGATTTGGGAACTCTGAAAATATCTAATCTATTTCTTCACAAATGTCTTAAGAAAACCAGAGAAACCTCAATATTTTCCAATTTTCTAGAATATTTAATGTGGTTGGTTGTTTTGATGGCATAGGCGCATCAAGGTCATCAGCGCCTTCTCCCTAAATATATTATTATTAAAATATTTAGCTGGTAGGTTTAATGGAAAAAAAATAGTAATGAAATAAATAAGTAAAAACAATAGATAAATAAAAAAGTAATAATAATAAAAAATAAAGTAGGGGAGAAAAGGTATTTACATAGGGAAATGTATATACATATATATAGTAAAACAAATTAAATAAGAGAAAAATATAAATATAAATTATTATTATAGCTCTTCTATTAAATTTACCCTTTTTAGAAATGTTATTATTTCATCAGTTCTATTGATGTCGTTTCCTAAGGCTAGTGATATGTTTTGTGATATTTCTATGTCATTTAATTTACGACTATAAAACGGACAATCTCGGAAAATGTGAGTTATGGACAGGGCTTTATTGTAATACTGATATCAATGTCTTGCGACCTTAGTGATGAGGAGGAGTTGGCTTGACTGTCCGATCCTAAGCCGTGCAAGGATGACTTCCCCTCCAGTTACCCTTATGAAGATTTATTTCCAGTTATCAGTCATAAATGTTCCTATTTAAAGTATTCGTTGAATTCCTGGATGATCGGAATACATTTTTGCTAAAATCTTAAGAGCACTTGAGAAATCTGAAGCTATTACCATAGTTTTGTCGGGCAATGTAGATGAATACTCAATAAATATCCGAATACTAAAAATAAATATTAAATAATATATAATGTGTGATCAGCCTCTCCCCTTTCTCCCCTAGTGCAATTCATGAGATTTCGAGACTGCTAAACAATGGCCAAAATAACATTGAGGTTTCATCTCTCAAATATCTAAGTTATTGTTTGTTAGAAATAATAATTAATAAAGAAATTAAATCGACACACCAACGAAATACTTCGTTCAGGAAATACTCTTTATATGAATTTCGACCGCTTTTTTCTTATAATCATAAAAATGAAAATAAAATAATATCGTGTTTAAAATTTATTTTTTTGCCATACATTACTATCGCTTAAGCCAGCGAGATGTAATACCCCAACCAACTGATACAAATGAGAAGAATATATGAGGACAATATCCGAAAACCTGAACAGCAGTTTCTTCTCGCTTTCACTTTCTTCTTAGGTGATCTGGTTTTACGGAAAATACATTTGTTTCCTATTGTCACGTTACCTAAGCTTTGTTCATGAAAGCCATCGCGGGATTCAATATCAGATACTATATTGTAATCGTCATAGGGATCATATGAAGGTATGGAAAATGCTTCATTTCTCTTGGAGGGATACACTTCGGTAAGCTCATCATCGTAAAATCCAGCAGAGTAGCTATCCTCACTAGATTTCGGATGCAAGAACGAGTATATCTGAAATAATATCAATAACAATTAATTCTCTGTAAATTGAATTTAATTTAATATGTTGGATGAAAAAAAAAATGACCGCTTTTCAACCAAATATTTGTATTATTATTTCTTCGATATATAATACAATTAATACTCAAAGTATAGTCCGTTGTTATCTACCGTCATTAGACGTCTGCTAGCTAGCTAATTTTTCGATCCCACGCTGATACCATTCTTTGGTATGGCTGTAAAAGAACTCTTAGACCGCAATTTCAAATCCCGCAAAATTATCAAAATTTTTTTCCCTTGAAGAAAATGGGCCTTAGATCTAAATAAGTAGTAATGCGATGGTGCGAGGTTTGGACTATGAGCTGAATGAGGCAGGATTAATCAGACAAGGGTTTTTCAATAAATTTTCCCAAATTTCTAGCCTCGTAGCAGATGGCTGAGGAGTAAGTTCGTGAGGGACCAGTCTACTGCTCTTTCACCTTCCCCATGGAGAATAGATGTCGATACTAACTGGTCGCCTGGAGCCTTTTTTCTTCCCAACGTCGGATCTCCACTGCTAAATTTTTCAAACTAACGCGCAGTGCGCTGGTCAAGGACACCTTTCCCTTCATATTTAATAATTTCACGAGTTGCTTCAACGGCTGTGAATTTTTGTTTTCTATTAATGCCTTAAAATTACAGGAATTTCGTAGGACACTGTCATGTTTCTTCTTTGAAACAAATAACTAAACTGAGACTTTTTTTAAGAAGTCGAATGGGGTTAAACAAGCTTAGAGAATGCTCTAAAGGGACCATTAAGTATAGGTAAGTATTAAATAGGAATAAAATATTTACAGTACTTTTAAATCTTGAATTTGATAAAACGGTCAATTTTTTTATTTTTTATACATCCTATTAATATGGATCCTATACTTCGTTTGATAAGTTTGTTATAAAACATATATTTATCATATGATACTTGATGCTTGAATGAAAATGATTCTAAACATTTTCGACTGTAATTATCACCAAATCTACTAATACTGTGTTTGGTAATGTTGGATACAGCAAGCTGAACCAATAGGAATTTTAGATCTTTGTCGAGCTGGAGTGTCAATACTCATTTTTCTGAACCAGAAGGATTTAAATATTACCTGCCACAGTTGGGACTTGAACCTACACCATACCATACTGGGCGTTCTAGACCTGAGAATCAACTCTCGAACCATGCAACTTATCTTGGAGGTCGAAGAATCGTGTCAAAATTGGAGGATTAAAACAAATTCCAATAAATCCCGTCAAATCACCTTTACCCTTCGGCGTAAACCTATGACTTCCTGTCCTATAGTATCCTTTAATAATACGCCGCTTATCCCTGTTGAACAAATCCGTTACCTTGGACTCCACTTGGACAAACGTCTAACTTGGAATACGTCCTCATTACAGACTTAAACGACAAGAAACCGCTCGACGTTTCCGACTACTCCAGCACTTACTAGACAAATGCTCTAAGCTTCCAGTTAATTACAAACGACTCATATACATGGCTACAATAAGACCTATCTGGACATACGGAGTTGAGATTTGGTTGTCCACAAAGCCTTCGAATTCCTCATGCTTCCAATCCTTACAATCCAAAATCCGTCGTAAAATCCTCAATGCTCCATACTTAGTCAATAATAAAATCATCCATAAAGACCTTAATGTTCCTTATATTTCCGAATTGGCCCAATCCAGATACCTGTCCTTCCATAATAAACTTCAGAACCATCCAAACCCTCTCGTTTCCTTGCTTCCTATTTGATCCCTGATAACCCTATGTTGCGTCTGAAAAGAAGATGGCCTCGAGATTTTCTATTGTAAATACATTTTTTTTTAGCGTGCTATCAGTGGGTATTTTCTCAACAAGTGTTTTCATGTTTTTATTTTCTGTTATCACATTTACTTAATGTATTCTTTCTTAATACAGTTGTAAATATCATAAATAAAAAAATAAATAAAATAAATCTTGGAGGTATTTAGGAATTGTGAAATTATCTAAAAAAAAAAAAATTCGAAACAATCTTGTTGTTCAGTAATAATCGCTATTGATATCGACAGCCACATTGCAAAAGCCTGTAATGACTATTTATATGGAAAATGAGGTTTTGAGATTTTCTGGTCAATTTTGTTCCGGAGCATATTCTGATCCCACGAAATGAAATTGACAAAGTTCCGTTTCTTCTCTATGGCGTTTTGTAAAAACCTGTAATTTAAAAACCAGCAAATTGTGATGTAAAAAAACTGTAAATTACAGTGAATGTTATAGGGATTGAGTCGTTACCGAAAAAACGTAATGAAATGCTCAATGAAAGGTGGTCATGTAAAAACTTATTGCATTATGTGTTTTGTGCATTTGTTTTAAAGTTTACCTGAATAGTTTCTTCCTCTTTTTTTTTTCTTTTTTTTCAATTTGCATTTAATAACTTTTAGGGTATTGAAATTAGTCCCAATTTTACAAAATGCCTTATTATAAATAATTTTTTCAGCCTGGAATGCTCTATAAAATTTACTAGAAACATTTTGTGTAGATAGGAATATTAGTGGATAATCTTACATTATCGTGATATAGTGTCGAGATGGTAGTTTCAACACGAAGAACTGCTTCTTCCACTTCTGGGGTACAGGTACAATCATAACCCTTGTATTCATTATCTTCCGTTTCGTCTGTATCTGTAGTTTGATAAATACTGTATTCTGATTTATCTGTAAGATCAGTGAGAGTGTCGGTATGTTCTTCATAAAATATACTGAGCGATGTTGCTAGTTCGGTAGTGGTTTCCCCTCTCGCACTTTCACCTTTTCCTGTATCGAATAAACCTGTACTCCTCGATAAAAGTTCGTTATCATCTTCAATGCTCTCTGTAACAAAATAAACGGGCGATGAACTTTCAGAAGTGGATTCTATTGTGTAGTTATAGGTTCTCCATAACTTAAAATTCTTTTTTCCTGAAGATTCCGCTGCATTAGAATCGGTGGGTAAGAACATAATGTCATGCCATAATGATTCTCTTGGATCTTGTTTTTCAGTCGTTGATGGTTCTGGATGAACGTCTGCATAAGTACAGGGCTTATGACTTACCGGCAATGGCCGTATTGCCAATGAGATTGCGTTTTTATTTTTAGTAGTTGATGCTCGTTTTAAACTAGTTGTGGTCTTGTCATTTGGAATCTGTGAAGTTTCGGTCGATTGTTGTCTGAATCTGTAGTATGTATCATTTTTCTTTGATTTTTTCATGTACCAATATTTTTTATCAGACTCCGCTTCAGAAAGTGCTGGGTCGATATCCTTTTCTTCATACGCATAATAATAGTCCTTGTTCTGATAGTGTGTTTTGGTGGTGGTATCATCTTCGTACTCTGGATAAGTTGGATATTGTGCACTGGGAACTATTGTTTTCTTTTTTGCACCATACCTATTATCAATGTATCCTGGAAAAACTGGTAATAATTCTTTTAAATAATCTTCATCTACCTGAAACATATGCGATACAATCAGAAATAATAATTACGGTAGTACCGTTATGGTAAAATATGTATGAACAATTAAAATACATTGGACAACTTAGAAAAAATAATGTTACTTCATAGGATCAACATTTAAAAGCATTACCGACGACATAGGCATGCCACCGAAAAGTTTTTAACTTAGTGGTTAATATCTAAAACTTTCTACAACGCGAAAAACAATGTATCTCTCTCTAAAAAAAAAAGAACAATATTTTTAATCACAATTTTAATTCTCACTCTACTATCAATAAGATACAAACTCGTTAAATACTAATTTAAGTGCAATCTTTTTTTTTTTTTATACTGAGTAGACAATATATTTCTCATAGATTCTTAGATTTCAAACATAACACAAGACTCATTTTCAAATAATGTTGCTTAAAATATTTTCACTTTCAAAGATAGATTATCTTTGTATTAATTTCGGAAATTTGAAAAAAAAATCTTATCTGGTTTCGATAAAAAATATTCATGAATTTTTGGGGTTCATGTGTGACCTGGATAGTTCCAAATCAGTTCACTAAAAAAATGTCCACAACTTTCATTAACGCATAAATTAACTTATTTTCCTTTACATGCTAATTTAAAAAAAAAAGTTTTAGTTTTTTGAGGAAATTGGGAACTAGTGTTGAATATCAATAACATAAAATTTCATACTCTACTTTGGTTCATGTATGCGCGAACATTTTTTTTTTTCTCTACATCTTGACGTTCCGACCAGTATCTTGAAAACGTTTAGTTCACTTAGCCGAAAAGGTACATAAAAGTTATTAATTGATAATAAACAAGTATGTATCAATGTTAACAAATTTCACATACTGCTTACGCATACAAAAGCAAATAGGCTGGTATCCATTTTATCAGATGTCATTTTACAATTTAAGTAACTGCTAAGAATACGAAGGTAGTGAAAACTAGCTGGTAGTGAACATATGGCATGGAAGGTTATATGCGTGTGTGCTCCTTCGATTTGGATAGAAGTCGGAGACTATTGCACAAATTTGACAGTGTGACTTTTATCAAGTTTCATCAACTAATGTTGGTTAAGTATGCACAAATGCATTTTACTTGCATACGCGTTTGCTCTAAAACGCTAGTTCTAAAAGTAGGTTTTATTCTTAAAAGGCGAAAATTGATTTCGAAACAAAGTTAATTGTGTACACCACAGAAATAACGAGTAAGCTTCTCGGTGGATGTCATTTAAATATTTAAATAGCATTTACCTGAATTTTAGCTGTTGTACCTAAAAGGTCGTATATGTCGCCATCTCCGTACCAATCAAATTTTTCATACTGTGCCATAATATTTGGCAGTTTTTTGGTAAATGCGTGTTTGTATTCTCTTTTGCGTTTTTTTAATATTTCCATGGATGGGCGATCTAATACTATCTGAGACATATTAGGATTTAGTAATGCGTCTGGCGTGACGACCAAATCAGCTGCATTTCTTGATCTGTTCAGTTCGATAATTTCTGAAGTGCTATTTTTTTTATCAACATCTTCAGGCATCATATCTCTGGGTTCGTAACACGGTGAGTGGTAAATTAATTCCCCTTTTGCCAATTTCATCTTTGTTTTCTTTCTATTGTATGATGTGGGTTTTGGCCGTAGTGATGTAAGCCTTTGGATTATCTAAAGGAAAAGTAATATTATGGATAAAAATATAATATATCGAATCTTTTCTTAAATTCAACACGTAACACACTCAGTACATAATGTTTCATATCCCTAAGATAGTTAAGTGAAATTCAATATTTAATTTTTTTTCTGATTTTTTAGGATAGTTCGAATTAATATCACACACACACACACACACATATATATATATATATATATATATATATATATATATATATATATATATATATATATATATATATATATATGATGAAAGGTGTAACCTTTACAGATAATCTAGTATTAATTGCAAGAGAGTTAACAAGAGGCGATTTATCAGGACTGAAAGAGATGGCAGAAGGAACCGGTTTGAAGATATTGTTTGGGAAGATCGAAATGATGACCAACAATAAGGGAATAAAAGGAAGGAATATAACAAGATCAGGAGGTATCAGGATAGTGAGGCAGTTTAAGTACATGGGAGAACTTATGAACTACAATCGAGAAGACGAACAAGAGACAAAAATAGAGAATTAAAGTTGAACTATATGAGTTATTTGATAAACAAATTTACAACAATAAACCTACTTAGAAAAATTAAAAACCAGACACTAAAATACGATAGTAAAACTAGTAGTATTGTATAGAGCAGAAACAATGAGTTTTACCAACACAGAAGGGCTCCTGTAAATAGAGAGAATGATACTTAGGTTTTTCCGTCAGCCGAAGGAAACGAGGGAAGAGTGCCCCCCCCCAAAAAAAAAAAACCGCAACTAAAAACCAGAGACATCATTGAGAAAAAAAAAACGTAGAAATTTTACGATCCCGTGAAGAAGAGAGGAAAAGAAAGATTGAAATATCCGATCGTAGACCTATTTATAAAACTTAAGAACATCGAAGAATACCATCAGCAGATTAAAAAAAGAAGTAAAGAGACTAGAAATTCAGAGAACAGAACTACCAAAACAGGAAGTTATTTAGAAAGATTGTAGATGAAAAGAAGGTTCTTGTTGTAGAAGGAAGAAGAAAGGAGATAAGGGAGAAGATGTGGGAGAATAGGTAGGCGAAGAAATGATATATGCGTAGTCTATAGCTTGCATTATCAGGATAATAAATTAAATAATGAGGGTGGAATGGACGAATGAGCTAACGCGTTTGTTAAATACGCGTTTCCCAGCAACCTGATAAACCGAAATTGCAAGTTCAAATCCCCATGGAGGCAGGACTTTAAACTCTGGCATCATTCCCCCGCCCTCACCTCTGGTCTGAGAAAAACCAGTTTATTATAAAAGGCCAAGAAGACGATACAAATAAAATAAAAGTTTCACATTGACTAAACTGCTGAATACAACAAAAAGCTAATAACATAATATAACTCAATAATATCTGGAATTAAAGAAAGTATTCAAACTTTACATGATAGAAGCCAGAACAAGATTTTAAGCAGATTAAAGCAAAATTCTATAATACTGAGGATCTAGAATCAGTATTTACAGGAAGCGTCAGCATAAAATTTAAAAATGACTAACCATGGATCATGGTAAGATTTTTCGTTCCAGAATTGTTTAACTTGCATATGTTGTAAGAGCTTTTGAGAAAATAAGATATAAAAGAGAAAGCAAAAAAAAAAAAAAAGCTTTGGCTCACATTTAGACCAGTGTTTTAAGATAAATCAGATGTACGAAGCTGGACAACAGAATTTAATTCTTAATGAAAATAAGGTGACAGTGACCCATGTGGTTGAAGCCTTTTAATTGTAAAGAAATGAGAAGATAAATCAGGAAATCTATGAGCCAACCAATCACAATAAATAATGAAAATGTGGGAGATCGATTCCAGAAACTGGTTGGTAACACTTGCCTAATATGTAATGAAAGAAAAGTTTCATGTCACATTTTTGTTTTCAATAACAAAACGACCAATAAAAAAAAACAAAAAAAAACTGAGAATTGTTCTATCATAAGAAAATATAGTAGAATATTTTACCGTAAAGAAGAAGAAGAAAAATGAACTATACCAGACATTTAATTGAAAAATTAGATTTAATGGGCTCATTACTATAAAATTGGAGAACGTTTAAAGTTATTTATGATCTGACATAGATTGATTCTGGCCAAAATGTGATAAACTAAATACAAACTATATTGACCTCTTTTGTTTTTTTAATAGATTGCTAAATTTTAAAAAAAAGTATACATGTATACATTTCTAATTTATGATTGATATATCGATTATAATTTAAATATTTCATTGAAATTTCAGCAGTTCAGATGTGAGTTATCATATGTTAGGGAAGTTAATATTTCTTACGTGGATACCTTCTTCTTTGATATATCTTCCAATGAGTCAGGTTGTGAATCTTTTCTCTGAGTGTCATACATTTTGATGCCTGCCCAAATGTTCCGAAAAAAGTTTGAAGCCTCTATATCAATATCCTGAGACTTATTTAGCCCGACTTCCGTCTTCACAGAATCAAAAGATTTATTCTTCAAACTTTCATTAATGAAATTGGAATGAATCATATCGACTCCATCAGAAAACATGGAAGAATTAGATTTTTGCAACTTTGGAAAGGATTTGGCATTATCTGAAATCGATCTGGAAGTGACATTTCTATGAAACATGTTCTGAACGATGTTGCAGCCATTTAAAAAATAAAATTCACTTATCGTTTTGTTTGATTTTGAAAATAATTTTGGTGGCGTGGTGTAATTCCAGTGGTTTCTTTTCTGTTTTTCTGAGGAGCCTGTTGAATTTAGAGGCTTCGTGTCGAATTTATCGAAATTCGTTTGTGGAATCAAGTATTTTTTAAACATTTCTGGTGACATAAAATACTTTATTAGTGGTTTCACACCATCATCTTTCCTAGTAGCAGATGAGAGGGTGTGTGAAATATTTGGGTTCTGTTTAACGTCAAAAGTAGAATTGTATAATGTCGGGCCTCTTTCTTTTCGATTAGCAACCACGTTTGCCTTTGTATACACCACAGTTAATAAAAACCAAATCAATAACATATCAAATACCAATCTAAAATACAAGCATATGATTTAGACATTTTACTAACTTTTTTTAATTTTAGTTCCTTATTAATATATAGGGTGTCTTATAAGTAAAGAGGCATACCTAAAAGGTTGATGGAAGACATCAAGATCTACAGAAAAGTTTCTATAAACAGTTGTCCAGTAATCCTGCAGAAAAGTAGGAAATTTTTAAACTTGTATTTTTTTATATTAGTAACTTTTTGTCGAATAGGAAGCGATAACTAAAAAACAAAATCTGGTGCGCGCAACACACAACTATCACTTACCGCTCAACTTTCTATAGAAATTATTTTCTGGCCATTTTGGATTGTTCTTTTTTTTAATATTGTGTGATTGAATTGAAAAAATTTTAATTGCATTTTTAACCGAGCTAAAGCTAAAATCTGATAGCTCACAAATCACAAAAACCATTAAAATAACAAAAGTCGTATTTATTATATCACCGGTTGATTATAAATTGCACGATCCGTTGATTATTTATTATACGACTATTAGTTATTAAATTATTCACTAATTTAATTTTCTAAAAGGTTACATGGTGATTTTTCGGAATTAACACACCTAATCATTTAAACATAATATCAGATCTAGAGTTATTAAACTAGAGTAAATATATTTAAGATTATATACATATCCATGAAATATTTTTATATTTCACTTCTTCTTTCGAATGTGCCCAAGGTGTGATCAGAGGACATTTTCCTCCATTTACCTTTTCAATAAATTTTTAGTTCATTCAAAGTTCATCTTAAATAATGTTTTAATTTTAAAAACATAAACATGTGATAAGTATCCAATAGCAACTATAGTACGCAAGAGAATTCCTTCAAGAATTACGGTTTATATGAAGAATACTAAATTTAATTTTTAATAAAATGTTTTCTTAAATTAAAACATAGTGCTCGATATAGTTCCATTGGAACAATACTAGATCTCGACGTCCGCGTTAAAATCTCAAAACTCCGCGACAAAAAAAAAAAAAAAAAAATCATCCTGTCTCTTCTTGACATATAGGTGCTGGAGATCCTGGTCCTAATCTTGGATATCACCAAGAAGTTTTCGGACTACCCCGGCTACTCATCAGGTTAGACTTGTGTCGGAAGGAGATTACGATATAGTCTGTTTGGTTAAAATACTCCCGTCAGAAGACATCCAGGTTACTTTATGAATCTTCTTCTCAGGAAAAAGTGTGCTTACAATGGGCAGATTCCGTGAGTCATTGGCCATTTTCACTCGTCATGAATACTAAACCTTCCAATAGTGGGACGGAATATTTCTTCACGGCCAACCTTAGCATTAAAGTCCCCCATGAGTATTTTAATATTGCTTTGAGCGAAAAATTCTACCAGTAATTCAAGGACATAATAAAGTTCTTCTTTTTCCTCTTTGCTGGCGTCTTCCTTCGATGCTTATCAGCTCAAGATGCTAAAATTAAAGAAAAGACCTTTAACACGAAAGTGGCAAAGCCAATAATACTTCTTTTCATGCGTACTCTCACAATGAATCCCGTGCCCATTGTATGAATGTTGTGACAGCTGTAATACACGGTGTGAAAACGTTTTTCGAGGATTCCCGTGCCTTTCTTCCGAAATTCTTGAAGTTGTGATGTCAAGTTTGTAACTGTCTTCAGGAGGCGCTTAAGTACTCATGTCTATATAATGTTAAAACATTCCAATTTTCAATGTTGATGTTCTTAAGGCGCTTTCCAGATTTTTTTCTAATCATAAGTGCCGCAATCAGTAAAGTGGTTATGAGCTGTGTTTTTCTCCTAGACCTTTGACATCGGAATACATCCGTATTTATTAGCCGATTGTTTCAATTACTTTCATGAAAATGTAAATATTAGGATGAGGAACATTAAGTTCACCCATTGTTTATATGAATTTTATGTAGCTCTTGAGGTCTTCTATCACTCCTATAAATATTTCTCTCTACTCATCCGGTATACTATATGTATATATATATATATTCGCCTGCTAATGTGATAATTGATTTCGTCATTTATACGCCTCTCTTTAATCTATGCTCATGAATACAGACGTTAGCGTTAGAAGATATTTATCAATATATTGAGCTCCACGCGGGCACCTACAGACAAATGATTTCGGATTGCATTAGAATATTGACGACTTGCTTAGAGTTGCATTTGTGGATACATTTATTTAGTTCATTTTTTTTTAATAATAGTTGAAAAATAATATTTCATTATAAATATTTTATTTTAAATCACTATCAACCATCCAATGAAAATGAATAGGCTAGCCGACGGTATAATTGATCGTTCACTGGAATCCAACAGCCGAGCGCATATGTCTTGTTTATTCTCCTCATCCATTCTTGCTTCCAAAATATCATCTTCTTCATCATAAGGAACTTCCTGAAGTATTGGGTATTTATTCGCTTCATTTTCGTATTCCGGTTGACGGTCGATCTCATAAGCGCTGTCTTCAGGTAGTTTTGGGACAATTAAGTTGTAATCATATTGATCATAGGTAGATATTTTCTTGTCTTCTGGTTGGTTCTAGAACATTAAAAAGAATTAATTTAATGTAAAATTCAATTGTAAATAACCTAAAGTCTAACAATTGGCGTTGACTTGTGAGTTAAGGTATACTCATTGTGTAGTGGCTAGCATACTCTAATAGTGAAATTTCCTGGTTCAAGGCCAGTTCCACGATATTTTTTTTAAAGTGGGCGTAGTGACCGAACGGGCTAACGAGTTCGCGTCCCTGGCCCGGGAAACCCCCGTGTAGCCTTAAAGGCAAGGACACTATATAAAAAAAAAAAAAAAAAAAAAAAAAAAAAAAAAACTATTGGCTTACATCAATATTAAAGTTTTCTGAACATGAAATTTTCTCACTTTAAATCAATATTTGGATAATACAAAAAATATGAAATATGAGAAATATTTAAATTGACACGCATCATAAATATATTACAGAGCTCCTTAATGAAAAAATTCCTAAACTGTTGTGAAAAAGAAGATGTAGTTATTTTAATGGTGGAGTATGGTAAGATTGAAATGGTATACAAAAGTTGGAATTAACAGTCCCTCGTGCTTGTTATTTCTCGAACTATTAGCAATAAAATAATTAACAATGAAATATAAAAAAAGTAATTAAATGGTTAATTATTAATTTTAATACAACTTTTATATCTTTACCTGCCTAATCCATATTATTTTTATCATCTGCGGTAGTTGGATGTATTATTTCATAATAACAAAAATTACATGTTGCTTGATACTGACATCAAATATTTCTTACAATCAGCTACTAGCGTAATAACTATTTTGATACTAATACTTTGATACTTAATATAGAATTGTAATCTTACATTTTGCGTAGGACAGGTGATTGCGGTGGTCTTCGCCTTTGCCTTGCAAGTGCATCTCTTCCACTCTCTTCTGGAGGTCTTTGCCGGTTTAGATGCAGCAGGTGGTGCACTTTCAGTCGTTTTTAAGAAATCCTTTACAGTGGTAGGGAAATATTTTCGAGAATTGGTTCCTGTCTTGGCAATAGCTATTTCTTTTCCGGTATTATATTCATAACTTGTTTGACTTCTTCCTTTAGTTTCAATACTAATTCCTTCATTTTCAAGAATATTTCCAACAGTTTCGGTACTAGTTTCAACAGTTTCGGTACTTGTTCTAACAGTTTCAGTACTAGTTTCTACAGTTTCGGTACTGGTTACTACAGTTTTGGTAGTAGTTACCTCAGTTTCAGTGCTAATTCTATACATTTCGGATGTGGTATGTATCGTAGTATCAATAAGCGTTGAATACCATTTGGGATTTTTCTCGGTTATAAAATATTTTTTACTGCTCAGTTTGGGCTTAATGGAAGATGAAATTGTTTCAGTGATCTTTGATGTCAGAAAAGTGATAGATGACTCGGTGTAGTCTTTAGGATTAAAAATAACCCAAATTGGCCACACCGCTTCATCAGTAATATCTAGATCATCATTTGAAACGGTACTAGTTTTTGTTTCAAATGAATGAATTTGTTTATTTGTTGTTGTCGGTACAGAAGAAGAAAGTGGTTTCGTTTCTGTTTTATCTTTTGATTCAAACATTGTCGAAGAGGGGCTTGTTGATTCATCCTCTTCTTTGTCGAGCTGTTCTGTAACATCCTTGTTATTCTCTTTTGCCATGGGATCTTTGACTAATTTTCTTTTATATTGAGGTTCCATCCAAATTGGCCATTGAAATTTAATGGATGGCATAGTCGACAGCCAAATCGGCCACGACTTTGAATCTTCCGTTTTAGTAACCTTATTTTTTATATTTGCAAGCGGAGTTAATATGTTTTCAACTTTAGTAGAAGTTTTAATTGCATTTGTTGTAATGAACTTTACGATTTCATTATAGGGTTTATTTCTACCTTGAACGGTTTTCCCCTCCTTTCTTTCTTTCTTTTCAACTTTTTGAGAAATTTGTTCTTTTAAAGGAGTAGTGGATTGAACAGTTAAATCAGAAATCTCCCTTCCATTAGACACTTCAGATATTGCCGAAGTAACGGACGTGATAGGTTCTGTAGCGAGATTCAGAAAAGGGGGAAGCGATTCAAAATAGCTGTAGTCTTTATAACTCCACCTTGGCCAAAAATCTATGGGATCTGAACCGTTACTACCAAGAATAGTTTTAATATCCTCATCTTCTATATTTTCGAACGATGAAAATAAACTTTTATCAGTTTGCAAATCATATATATTATCTAGTCCCATGTGGTACTTTAAATCGAATATGTCTGAGACCATTTCTTTTAAGTCGTCCTTTTCTTTAGTACTTGTTTCCAATTTGTACTTTTGGGAGGAAGAAATTTCTGTGGCGAGCAAAGATTTTCTTGGCAATATATTTTCTTCTTTAATTTCTTTTAACTTTTTCCACTTAATCCAGTTTTTCGTTATTGTAGTAGGAACCGTTTGTGTTGTATAAGTGGTATCATTAAGATGAATCATTGGTGTGATTTCCGGTGCATTCGTATTTTTTGTAATATTTTCATATCGTTGTGAATACTTTATATCCAACGATGTTAACGGCACCCTTATTGATGATGTTTTAGGACTTTGTTCATTAATAATAGTGTTTTCCTCGTCTGTGATAGTATGTGTTGTGATACCTGAGGTCGTAATATTCTTTCTAAAATTTGTAAGTTTATCGTCGTAATGTTTTTCTGATGAAGTTGGCCATTCAGTAGCAAAAGTGGATATTTTAGATAGAGTTGTTAATACAGACGTAGGTGAGGATATTTTCGATTCAGTTGGCAAAACAGTAGTAGAAGTGGATAATCTAGATGCAGTTGGCAATGCAGTAGTGGAAGTGGATAATCTGGGTCCAGTTGGCAATGCAGTAGTAGAAGTGAATAATCTCGATCCAGTCGGCAATGCAGTAGTAGAAGTGAATAATCTCGATCCAGTCGGCAATGCAGTAGTAGAAGTGGATAATCTCGATCCAGTCGGCAATGCAGTAGTAGAAGTGAATAATCTCGATCCAGTCGGCAATGCAGTAGTAGAAGTGAATAATCTCGATCCAGTCGGCAATGCAGTAGTAGAAGTGGATAATCTCGATCCAGTTGGCAATACAGTAGTAGAAGTGGATAATCTCGATCCAGTAGGCAATACAGTAGTAGAAATCGATATTACCGGTCTGGTTGACGATTCAGATTTTATTGATGAAATCGAAAAGATAGGTTGTGTATCTTTAATCAGGAATGGTGGACTAGTAACAGAATCTTCGGTGTCTTTGTTAATCGATAGTGACCACATTGGCCAGAATACTGTGGTCCCTTGGTCTTCTTCTGCAAAATAATCGGAATCCAAATTTTTTTCTGTTGACCCTTTTACAGTGCTCTGTTTAAACTTGAATTTTCTAATCGTCTTGTACTTTTTTGAACTTGGTGAGCTTGTTGTTTCTAACATTTCTTGTCGTGTTGAAATATCATTTTCTGTTGTTTGGTATGGATTTATCCAGTTTATCCAGATTTTCTTGGCAGTAAGAGACACTGTTTTGGTTGAAGGAGGTGTTTTTGGTCTGAACAAAAGATCTCTCCACAATATGTACCTATCGGCTGGTATTTCATTTGAATTATTTTTTGGATTACTGGTCGCGACAGTCCAAATCGGGTCTTCATCATTAGGATATTTTTTCTTCGGATTTTCCAAAATCAAAAGATCACTACTGCTCGATGTTTCCTCAATGTCTACCCAATTTTGGGAAAATGTAAATGGGAGTGAGACATTTTCGTCTTCCTCAATAATTTCATCGTCATTGGTCATAAATTCCATTTCTTGTTCTTGAGCTGTGGGATAATGATTTGTGTAGCCGTTTGTTTCAGCTTGAATATCATCCTCGATATAAGGAGTATGTTGGACACCTAAGACCATTATTTGTTTATCAAAGCCAGTGATTTCCCTTATCGGTATATCTTCTTCGTATGTTGAAGAAGTCGATTCAATTACTTCTGTATTGATTTCCCGAAACTGAAACAAATGTTTGGATCTATGTTATTTGATGAATGTTAAAAGTATTACTCAGTATTATCTATAATTATTTTTATAGTGATCAGTGATATGATCTAGGCATTTCATTTTATAAAATAAAAATCCTAAAATAAAATTAAGAAGTTCACCCAAAACATATAGCTTGTACTTCAGCCATGTACTATCGTTTCTGGGTCAAAATGCCTAGTCCGTCTTAACTAGTATACTCTTCAAGTATCATGATACAAGACCAATCGTATAATAGTGTAATAATTTATTTAGGTACTACATAACGCGTTTTAGTTTGATGATCTTTGTATTACGAAACGGACTTAAGTTGTAAGGTAGCTACGGCAGTGAGATGGAACAAAGTTTTTTTTTTTTCAATCTAATACTAATTCACATGTATTTATTATATTGTATAATACATTCGAAAAAATATGATTTAAAAACATTAACAATATTTACCTCTGGAGTTGTTATTTTCCCATCAACGGTTGGGTCATAAAAGTCGTCAGTTTGGTACCAATCAAATTCTTCATCAGTCTCTTCAATATATTTCAGTGGAAGGATTCGGCTAAACATGCCGTCGTAATCTGGTATCAGCGGTTTGAATTTTTTCAAAGTTTTTAGATTTATTTCCTTAGAGGGATGATCTACAATTATCTGAGATATGTCCGGATTAAGAAATACGTTGTTTACTGGTTCATAGTCTGGCGCAATTACTGGATCAGAGGGGTGCCTAGATCTTCTCAGTTTACTCCCAAATTCCTGTGAAATACCATAGTCGTACATCATTGATGCAGGTTGAGGAGTGTCGTTTACAACTGTCCAGCTATCTGTTGTTAATGCATTCTGCATGCGATCAATATTTATATTATTATTATATTTCTCCTCTGTTGAAGTTCCACTGTTTTTCATAGCCTTAGCCTCCCGCGAAGTATATCTTTGAAACTTCATGTATGTCTTCTTTGGAGTTGAATAGAATACCTGCAGATTTTAAAATAAAACATACGATTATTACTTTCACTTACCTATATATGTAATATGTAGTATGGGTAGGTATTGCGATCGTGAACATTTTTTAATCTGGGTTTTCAACGGAAATACACGTTTTTATGTGCCCTGAGTTCAAATAACCAAGTCCCACTTACTGCTATTTTTTAAAGTTTATTTATTTATAGTCTATTATTATCCTTATTTATTTATTTTATTCTATCAATCCATTTCTCTATTTATTTTATTTCTTTTTTCTTTTTTTTTCTTTATTTCTTTTATTTTTTCCAACCATCCAAACACTATTAAGTGATGTTATTTAGTTGATCGGGCGCTTATGACCTGGATATTTTGCGCCTAGACATCGAAACAAACAAACAAACAACCAAGTCCCACAAAATGGTCTGTGTGTGTATGTTAACAGTCTAGCTCAAAAGCGAAAAGTCGTACGGATGTTAAATTGCATATTTAAGGTTTTTATATGCTAGGGATGTTACAACAACTTTTTCGTCGTAATTAGCTAACCGAAAGTGGCACTTTATATAATGTACTAAACACATTTTTACGATTATTTCTAAAACCGCTCAAACGATTTTGATTGAATTCATCATATCAGTGTGAAATTAAGCAACTTTAAATAAAATTTGCTTAGTATTCTGATTGATGTTCTATAACAGGGCTTAAATGGCTAATTTTCAATATTAGCTTCCTCTAAAGTACCTTTAATTTTTTTATTTGAATCAATTGACCGTTTCTCATTAGTTTCTTATAATATAAATGGTTAAATATAAAAATAAATAAACGAAATAAATAAACGAGAAATAAGAGATTATAACGGAGAATAGTTGTAATTAAGGAACCAAAGCAATACGAGCGCACCGAAGCTTGCCCGAAAGATTAGAAAACGCTTCCGTACATATCATGAGATTAATATAATACGGAATCCGACAATATTATATAAATATACACATGTGGTTTTCATAAATGCTATTGTTGGTATTATTTAATATTTAATGGTATAGATTACAGCAATATAAATATTAAAATTTGTATATGTGAGGGTATTTATAGAAATAAAAATACCCACGATGAAATATAAATAAATATTGAGTCCATAATTTATACTTCCACTTCGCTTTGTCTGAAAATACTCATTTCTGCTAAGAAAAGAGTGGTAAGTGAAAGTTGTGTGATGCGCACACGGCACCAGATTTTTTTCACTACATACTGCATTCTTGTTTTCATTATATACAGACATTTCTTCATTACATGTGAAGTGTTTATATATATATATATATATATATATATATATATATATATATATATATATATATATAAGTTAAGGTACGGAGCGGGACAGTATTAGCGTTAATACCAAAAGCATTGATGTAAACAATCTCAGAATGTTTATATAGAGGATTAGAAGGAACAATAAAGCAGTCCTGATTCCGACTTCATGCGTTTCATTTCGGGAACCTCTTACTTTTTTTTAATTGTTCAAAGTCCTTAAATGTTTAAGTGTTGTTTTTTTTTTGGTCTTTAGACAGAACACAGCCTGTCTAATATCTATTTGTTCATGAAGACACTCTTAATAAGATATTAAAGTGGATTCCAGCTGAGTCAACCTGCGTCTTTAATTTAATCTTTTAAATTGAATTAAACGTATTGGTTTATTTTTTAAAGAGCGTCTATTTGAAATGAAAAGATTATTAACCCTAAGATAAACAATATAGTTTTAATTATATTATTATGTAATATATAAATTAATGTACCTTTTCGTTACATTTTAAATTAGTCATTGGATCATAATAATATCAATGAATTGTTTTTATAAACCTCTGATGAGTCCACTCACACGATTTTCTTACCTATTTCCGTAAAGTTTTTATTTGTCTATTAAGAACAATCAAATGTTTCTATTAAGAAACAAAAAATAAAAGAATTAGATTTGTTTTCTTGAAAATTTATCAAAGAAAAGATTTGATTACGATTTATTTAATATAGAAAAGCAATGTGAACCCTCTTGTGGAAGATCAGTATAAGGAATTCAACATAGTCTAATATCCATATTCAAAAATTTTTGTCATCACCCAATTTGTCAGACAATAATTTTTGTTAAAAAAGATGAAATAGTAAGGCTTGTATGAGCGGTGCACAAGATTTCTTTACTTTTCTTTCTCTTTCACCTCTTTTTCAGTACCAGGATCCGAAATCATAATCTTTGATCGCAAGACTTTCGACGGAGTAACAGAGTCCCGATGATTTCGACCAGTCGTCAATATATCTTTTATTGAGAGGATATCTCAGAGCTCTGTATAGAAAGATCGATGACAAACAGCATTACTTTAACTCCGCGTGGAAGATTTTTTCCAAGTCACTAACCGCCAACGCGAAAAGCGTTGTACTAAAAACACATCCTTGTGGTACTCCACTCAGTTGTCTACAATTCTTAGACAACAATGTCCCTCATGGATGCGAAAGCAGCGACTAGAAAGGAATCCTTGAATGAATTTTGATAAGTTACCTCTGAATCCTAACGAATGTAGTTTGTTTAAGATAGCAAATTTATTAGTTTTGTCGAAGGCATTGTTCATATCAAAATAAACCGCTCCTCTTGGATGAATGCATACTGTAGTTCGGCTTCATCTGAACCAGGTGGTCTACAGTTGATCTGCCTTTGCGAAAACCACATTGGAAGTTTTGGATGAGATGATCCTTTTCTAGGATCTGTGTGAATCTCTTGTATACCATTCGTTCCATTATTTTACGTAGACAGCTTGTTAAAAATATTGGTCGGTAGCTGGATGCATGACGCTTATCTTGACTACCCTTCACTATTGGGACTACTACAGAGTCGTTCTTAAGATAAATATAAGAATAAATATTGTATGCATATAAAAATTTGACAGAGTTGACTGTGTGATAAAAGTGTGTGATTAAAACTTTCATTAAAATTAAAATACCCACTATACTTTATATAGGAATTATATACTCGTGCCCCGAAAATCGTTGCACAAAGATTAAAAAAATATACGAGATCTACAATTTAAAAAATAATTTTTTTAATAAGTATAATGTGTATACTCTTTCATTTTATAACGTTTATTGTCTTATTTAATTTAGATGTATGTTTACTGTTTTTGTTACTTGGTTGAAGGTCTTTGGAGATTGGTTATAATTTATTTTCGGATATTGAATATTTAATAGTTGACCGTTGCATTATAAAGAAAGGACATGGTCCGGGGTGGCGGTCATAAATATGCTAAATAGTGACAAAACTATTTTATTAAAATCCAATGTTTCGACCCGTCTTTGGAGGTCTTCTTCAGGAAGGTGTGTTACAGTTCTAAGTGAAACTCCTAGCTGAACGCACATCCCTGAAGAAGACCTGCAAAGTCGGGTCGAAACGTTGGCTTTTAATAAAATAGTTTTGCCACTGTTTAGCCGATTTATGACCGCCATCCTAGACCATCTCCTTCCTTTATTTTAGGATAGGTTACATTTCGAGAGATCTCAGACTGGAATAACGGGGTGATTTTATTTTTCCTGGAATGTTATCAAGGCCAATGAATGTGGAATCCAAGAGATAAATTTCATAAAGACAAGAAGAAAGCTGCAGATACCTGGACAAGAATTAGCAACATTTAAAATGAACTTGTTAAAAAGTTTAATTTATTTTATAATTTTAGTAGAGTTAGGACAGTTGTGATCATCGACACAGGTACCACATCCGCCAAGTTCGTTTCATTAGGAAAATAATGATCTGAGCACCCTAGATCTTATGTTCTTTGTTTTTCGGTGTTATTTAAATGTCTATCCCGGCTTAACAAAACTTAACGTCTAAATATAACTATGGCTTGTAGAGCTAAGCGAATAAAAAAAAAAAAAGTTATGTGTGCGTATGATTGATGACAAAATTGAAAAAAAAAAATAAATAGTAAATATCGGTCGATGTTTTTTTGATCATGTTTAAACGATTCTAATGAAAATTTACCTAGTCAGATGTGAAAAATCATATGTTAAGGTAGTGAATATTTCTTACGTGGATACCTTCTTCGATAAATCGTCCAGAATACGGGCGTCTAAACCTTTCACGGTCTCGGAGAATTCATCTGTGGTATCGGAGAGAATGTAGGGTATTTTCATGATATTAGTTTTTTTGGACCGATTCTCATCAAGTTCTGTCATCGGTGTTTCTAAAGGACTTTTTTTAATAATTTTACCAACTATCCTGGAATGAGGCTTATGGTAAGCAGTCCTTTGTAATCGAGATTTATTTTCACACATGCTCTTAAATGAATTCGGAAAGGGTTTCGCCATTGTGACGTAAGCCGAGTGATTCGTATGATATTCTAATGTAGAGTTGATAGAATTCAGAGGACCTGAATCAAATGATGTTTCGACATATTCTTGTTGGCTTGAATATCCTCTAGTTGAAATTTTATTTCGCGCTAGCAACGTTACATCAAGTGTTGGGTACGTTTTAACAGGTTTTCCTCTGTCCTTTTTTTTGCGTTCAAATGAGACAGAATATACACTACGCTTGCTCTGTTTTAAAGGAGAATTTGTTGTTTTCAGATCTCTTTCCATTCGATCTACAGTAACGTTTTCTGATAACAGTACTTTTGTGGATAACACTATCAATACAAACAAAATTAATTTCATATCAACTATTAACTACTAAAAATGCAAGCATATGATGTAATCTTTTTGAAATCATTTTTATTTACAATGGAGCACTTGTCTCTTTCGGCATTGAATGAAAAAATACATAATGTAAAAGGAACGCGTAGAAAAATATCTTCACATTGTATTGTATTATGTAAGTTAATATTAAAATTTATCTATATCTTTGTAAAAACAGAAACTTTATACTATGGATAAATACTTATTTTTCTGAATGGAAATTTATATACTATCAATGTTAATTGAAATCACAGCTTTTATAAAATAAGTCTCATTTCACCATTTTGTGCAACAAAAAAAAATCAACAGTGTCATTCTATTTACGTAGCCTGCTAGTTAACTAAGTACCTATATGCTAGGTAGTACATCAGTAAACTATTGCATTGATGGTTTTACCATTAATCTGTATTATTATATTTTAATTTACGTGTCGTATTTAAATGATAGAAATTTCATAATTTCGTAAAAAATATGAAGTATTTTTAGGTTAAGCATGCAATGTTCACTTTATTTTTAGGTACCATATGATATTTAACAGATAAATTTCATTTTATGAAGTATTATATGGCTCACTAAATCTTTAAAACAAGATATTACGATATATAATGATGGTTTTGAATGGTTGTGGACGCCACAGGCATCATTTTAGATGATATGAATTATAATCATCGATGATTTTAGAGATATTGTTGTTCGTAATTTAATTTTTATAAATGGATTACAAACAAGATATTTTTTAAAAAATAATTTTATAAAACCGACTACTCAAATAACTCAATCCCTCTTAAGGGATGGAAAATACTATATATGTACATAAAAATATTAGTGGGTTTGTAATGTCTATGAATATTGAAATTTTGGAAAGTGTTAATAAGGTTCGGTCGCGTAGGGAAATCCTCCAACGCTACTTTTATATGTTTACACATGATACAATACAGCTTTCTGAATATGGACATGCATACATGTATTGAACAGAAAGAGTTGTAGTGTGTCGTGGAAGGCATCCGTGTAATGTAATTTACCATATTTCAGTAATCATAGATTCTAACTCAAAAATACGGTATTTTTCTATTTTCTATTTTTTTAAAAAGTATATGATCAAATTAGAATTAAAAACCTATGGTACGAAAATGTTGGATTAATAAGTAGACAATCGTTGTAAAAATAATGAATATACTTTATAATTGAGATAAATGGATCAGTAGCTCTAATTTTTTGGCGGCACATATGTTAAATGTGAATCTATTAAAGTTTTGTGGGTTTCACGAATTTTCTTATTTTTCCACTTATCAGATAACATTTTTTCTATTTTCCGATTATTGGAAGACGTTTCAGGGCCTTCGACAAATTATACTTGTGATTATATATATATATATATATATATTTACATGTAATCATATGTTTTTTTTTAAAGGAATATATTTAAATTATAATTTTTAAAATACTCTGTTTTTTTTTTTTTTTACTGGCGGGAAAATACCAGAAAAGTACCAAACCTAATGCTTGTATTTTTATATTCATCATTTTCTTTCCCTTAAGACGGATAAGGGTAAGTACCTTCAGGTATTTCGAATCAAAATATTTTTTATTTAATTAAATTCTATTAATATTTTTAGTTTTTTAAACTACTAACAATCTAATTTCATAACATATGGTCACATTATATCGTTTCAAATCAGTTGAAGCGTTCGGCCGAATAACGGTCTATGTTGCATTTTAAAATTTAAAAAGAAAGTTTAGAAGATTTAGAAATATATATATATATATATATATATATATATATATATATATTATATATATATATATATATATATATATATATATATATATATATATAATGCTTAAACAAATACAAATATATTCAATGAAATATAAATAAATATACCGGCCTTCTGTATCTGTGGCACTCATGTCGAAATAATAATATTTCGTGGCTTTTAATAATTTATTATAATTATCAAATAAATAATTAAAATATAGAGTCGTAAATAGGAAAATATTACTGTATAAAAAATGTCTTATATTATAGACGGCTATAAAAAAAGTATGGTAATTAATTATTTAAAATAATATTCTGTGCTGTCTATAATTTTAACTTTCACTTCCTTTTATCTAAATATACTTATTTCTGATAAAAAAAAGATGGTAAGTGAAAATTATGTGACACCAGATATTTTCTTGTTTCTTGTTTGATATACTGTCATATGTATACTGTGTACATTTTCAAACAAGCGCCTTTTTTTTTTTTTTTTTACTCGTGATTATGTTTAAAAAAAAAAAAACATATAATTTTCTTTCTGATGGAGAAAAAAATACTAGGAAGCTAAAACATTTTTGCTTGAACTAATATTAATATTCTTTTCTCTTTTGAATTTAAATGAACATACTGTATTGCTTTTTTTTCTATTGTAACAAAATTAATTAAGTTTCAACGGTACATTTTTTTCAACGAAAATATTTCCTAAATGCGTACCTTTTCAAAACCTTTAAAACCTCCCTTCGTTTGTAATTTGTTCGCCTCTATGTCCAGCCTTTAAATACGACATCCTTGCTAATAAACTTGTATTTTAGTTCTCATTCTCTGTTTCCTTTGAAAAATTCTTCACCATGCTTCCTTAATTGCTTTGGGATAGATATACCTCATTTTTACATTCACTTTAACTCAAACTATTTCTCCATCTCAATTATCAATCTTACTTATGTGAATATACTCGTAAGACCTTACCCTATATTTGTAAGAATAAAGTTCTTTTTTTATATTAGTGTTCGTGCTTTATTTTACTGTCATTATTTATTTTCTTTATGTCAATGCTTTATTTATTTCAATTTCTCAATATTGCAAATGTGTAAACATACAGACATTTATGTATCTATAATTTACTCTTCTTTTGAAAAAAGTCTTCCATTTACTACAAAAAAAAACTAAACTTGATACACCTTGTTACCACTCTTCATGAATAGTAATGTCTGGCATTCATATCTGCCAATCCCAGAGCTTAGATTATTCCGACCTACGTGTAGGATTACTGTTTGCCTCGACTAAATTGCTTGCCGAAAGTGCTTTGCCTTCTCACAACAATACGTGCGAGCTGATTTGTAGAGGCGTTAAGCATTCGAATCCCGACCATAACCCCTAATTTGTAGTCTCAGCCAACCTAAGCTTGAATCAGGGCTTTCGTTAACGACGAATACTGTGTTTTGTCAATAAAGTGACTAATTGTTATAGATCTTATTTTTTTCCCACAAACTTAAAAATATAACTTTGTACTAGAGAATTTAAAAGTTTCAACTAGAGGAAATCTTAAGTATCAAATTTGAAAACACTTCCGAAAGACTAGTAGGTATAAAAAAAAAAAAAATTTGTTTTATATTTTCACTTTCTTTTACCTATACATGAAATATAATTTACTAGTTGTCCCGTGCGAACGAATTCGCAGAAAATGTTGTTTAGTGAAGAAATTTGAAAAACAATATGGAAATAAGTAAATCCTACGTATTACATGAAGAAGGAATTGGTACTTTTTCTTGATCGATTACAATATTCTATTTAACATAATAGATAAAATATTAGCACAAATTTCTTTGCTAGGACCAATTTTTAAACGATTACTGGAAAGATAATAAAACCAAAAAATGCTCCGATCAGGCTTTTCTAAATTATTAAAAAAATAAAATGTAAGAACAAACAAATACCTTTAAGAAATAATAAAGTTAATATACCAACCAGGAAAAAAAGTGTAATAGAATATTCTATTCCTAAATGCAATATAGAAAACTGGTAGACATTACTTAGTATACCAAAACTAATGGACTCTATTTTGTTAATAATTGTCCGATTTTTACAATTTTTTTTTGTTCTTCAGGTAATTTAGTAATCTTTCTAATTATCATGGGTACAATCATGAAAAAAATGCATACTTTTTGAGTTATTCAATAATAAAGTTTTTTTTCTTTATATATTTTTTTCCAGAAATTTCGGAGGGATATGACTTTTTCGCATGTGAAGGAGAAGAATATCTTCAAACTGAGTGGTCAGTCATTGGATTTAATGAAGAATTGACGAAGTTATGGCGTACCAACCAAAAACACCTTTTAGAAATAATATATAGGATTGTAAATGAAATTATTACAATCTTGAAAAATTTCTAATCCGAGTTTCATCGTAAAAACCCGTTTTGCTGTCCTCGAGTCCAAACAAGCAAGGCTGGCAATATGTTTTCTCTCTGTGCATCTGATGTGTATATGTAAACATTGTAACCCGAAAACGATAAGTTGATGGAACTGTTACATATTAGATATTTAAAGTATGTATATGCCTGGGTTATTACAGCAACTTTTTACAAAAAATCGACTAATCGGAAAAGACATTTTATTTTTTAACCATATACAATTTTACACATGTTTATGATTTTCTTACAAGTGGTTTTAACGATTTCGATTAAACTCGTTTTGTATATGTAGAAGTTTTTAAAATCAAGTAAATCTAATCCTCGTCAATGTAGTCCGACAAGGCTTAAATGTCAAATTTTCAAAATTGACATTTTCTAAAAAATATGAATAAAGCATACTTAATAATCACATGCTTTATTACAAATAGATCTAATTAGATTTTTTTTAAATAACAGAACAGAGTCAGTGAGGAAAATAAATAACGCAAACCACTTGGCTTCGACACAAGAAATAATTGAAAATATTTTAAACACGACATGGAGATCTGATGATCCTAATCCGTGACGTTCTAAGAGAAAAAACATCTGTCAATAAGTAAGACAAGTATAGCTTGTTCATCATTTTATATGGTTTCACACTTACCTATATATCAAGGTCAGTAATTTTTCGTTTGTGAATAAATTAAATTATAAATCCCTTACTTCGCTCGAATCGAACGTGAGGTTTGTGAGATAAATAGTTATATCTATGATAAAGTAGCAGACGAAATTTTATTAAATCAATACAGCATCTTTATTTTACCAAAACTCATCTTTCTTTTAACTTTGAGCCAAATGGAACAAGCGGTTACTGAAATATTGTCATGTCGAAGAAAACACATTTGTGCGTTCGCAAGCGGAAGTAACGTATGAAATATAATAAAATAGATAAAGCATCACAATATTACCAAAATGCATTATTCTAACAACTTAGAACCAAATCGAACGAAACGTTTCAGAATTATAGGTTTTT